AGAGCTAGATCATACATCGGCATGGCTCTTGTTTCTGCCATGCGGTTCCAGGTATATGAACTAAATGGCAAAGAATGTGCCATGTCTTACTGCTTTCGAAATGCTACAAATTTTCTGTATAAAGAAATGTTTTTATAATATAAAAGAACCATAACCACTGCTTATTATAGCAATTATAACAATAAATGGACATGTCCAGACTTATAGCTATTTTTCTACAATTATTGCTGGCGGTTTTAAATGTTACATAACAAGCTGTCGGCGCGCCTCTTTTTGTGGATCGTGCTAGATCTACGTCACACTGGATCTTGCATGTCGGAGAATAGTGTTTGTCGCGATTGTAGTAGCCCAATACCCCTGGTTTTAGACTTTGACAGGAAGAGGTCAAGTATGTTTAATGAGCATACATTTGCTTTAGAATAATGTGTATAAATGTGCATGTGTTTATGATTGTAAATAACTGTGTTTAACTAGAGGCCAGAGACATTAGCTGAGAGACTATGCGACAATTCTTGGGGAAGGATAGCATGTCGCAAAGGAGCTTTCAGGACATCTTAGGCTGTATTCCCGAACCCCTGAGCAATTAGATCCGATTAAACATTAATCATAGCTGAAAGAGCAAAAAAAAATATCACGATTGAACTGGAAGATTTGCGCTTTATAATATAAGGGATATTAGGCTTAAAACTATTAGTATAGTATTTTTTAACAAAAATTAAGATCTTTTAAACCCTAAGAATAATAATCCTATTTCTATATTGAAAGTAAGGGTTCTTAAACTTATTTTAGCTTTATAATTCTAGTTGAGGCCAATATAATTGTATTTTATTACATAAACCGTATCACGTGACACATCAGCATCTAGCCTCCCTTTAGCTGTGTTTTAAGACCCCCCTTCTTACGTATCCGTTGGCTTAAGAAACCTGAGAGCTTTAAACGTGTGGGCACGCGATGGGGTAAGTCTTATACTATCCTTTGTACCGCGCCCGTAGAGCCCGAGATCCATTCCGACACCTGCTTGAGATGCTCTCCCGAGCCTCGTGGCGACCCGGCCGTCTCCATGAGCCTCGTGCTTACCTCTGGCGCCTCCAGACCCCCGGTCGTTGAGGTCGTCGACTTGACTGAAACGCCGCCACCATCGCCGCCGTCTCTGGACCACCTCGCAAACGGAAGTCGAATTGGCATCGGCCAGCCGTTGCTTGAAGCACAGCGCCAGCACCATGACCGCGTCTCTGCCCTGGGCGAGGAGCCGCCGTTCAAGAAGAGACGCGTGAATCTTTCCTGGGCCGAGAAGCAGACTATTGCCTGCCAACAGGTCTCGCCGTATGTCAGCCGAGGCTTGGCGGACCTATCATCCTCTGAATATATAATCGATGAGATTGCGATAAGAGTATGGGATACTTGAAATGTTCAAGGGCCTTGGAGGCATTGGCTAATCCACGGCAACAGGCCGTTTCTATATTTGCCAAGGATCCGGTCTTTATTTCCCGATTGGATGAAAACGACTACACACTGCCTGCCAATGATGAGTGGACGGCTATAAAAGCCAAGATGATTGTTACAGAGTTATCTCGGAAACCTGTAGGTGAAATTAAACAAGGAAAAAGACGGAGAAGGCTTATTTCTATGTGTACTTCAGCTAACACTGCTCGCTAGGAATATCAACTTCATCTAGTGAAAGAGCTAGCAGCCGCCGAGTATCATTTCGCCCCAGTGGAGGATCCACCGCCAACGCAGGGCGAAGATGCGCCTGAGGTGCATATGCCAGATGTCCAACAGCTGGAGACCCCCAGAATCGACATGCTCGAAAGTACTACACCTGCAACGCATTGGAGCCGCTGGAAACCGCTTCCTAAATGCAGTCCATCGTCAAACGCATGGTTTGCTCTCGAACAACGACCTTACCAAACGGCATCAGATCGCGACCTCATTGCGAAAGGCGCCAGCTTATACCGTGACCTACAACGAGAGATGAACAGCCCAATGGTCTACCATGTGGACTTCACGTCTGATGAGGTCCGGCAAATCAACGAGTGCATCTCGAAATATCTTCCTCCAAATGCCCCTGCTATTCCCGAGAACTTGGCGCGGCTATGCCTTCAGTTTGACGTTCCTTCAATCAATGACACCACCCTGCCTTACCGAACAGCTAAGGATATTCGGAATTACTGCTCGGATGTACTCGCGAACAAGGCGGCACCACCTGATAACGCTCAAATTCTGACACTAGACCCAAGCGCTCAGGACTCTCGACATCAGCAGGAGAGTAGGCGCGCTGGTCGACTGGCAACTTTGCTGTTGGCCCGTGAAACAGAAGGAAACCGGGGATTTGGGTCGATGCGTCAATATGAGAACTTTCAAAACGAATTCAAAAAGGTCCATGAGGATAGCCTGACTTTGGTTGCAGAATACACAAACTGCGCCGGAGACATCGCGACGACAACCTGGATTCCGGATTGCAATGTTCTATGCGGCACGACGGTGCACTCTGACAGCCATAATCAACAGTATAACAAGCCTGGAAACTTGCTGCTTTGTTCGACCAAGTTGGGTCAGCTGAAGGCGTTTCCCGACCATCGGATCCCGCGACCGCTGGTTGACAAGGGGGAAAATTCGACCGTGGCCATGCGCCGAAGCCAAGATCCGTGGCTCTATTCATCAGTTGTGTGCTCTGATTACGACCATGTTCTTGGCTTGGCATACACTTCCAGCTTCGACAAAACAGTCAAGGTTTGGAAGGTTGATCCGACGGGCAGCAACATGACGGCGTTGGCCACATGGTATTTCGAGGGCAACGTCAACTTTGTTGCCGCGGCCAAGGACGGCTCTGGGCGAGTTGCTACCGCGGCCGACGTCCCAACGGAGGCTGTTCGGATATATACCATCGACAGGAATGACATTGCAAATAGCCCCTACATTTCTTTTTCTTGCACACGTACCGATGCCGACGACTCTGGCAAATGGGCATATTATCCTGCAACTATGCAATGGGGCCGCTGCTGGAGGAGCAGGCATCTGCTAGCCGTGGGTTACTCTCCTCGGAGCTTTTCTGGGGAAGACCTTGATATCCCAGAAGACAAGCGGAACTCGGGAGAGATTACTCTCTGGGACGCAGCCCTAAACCAGCGAGTTACTGTTCTGACAGCGACAACAGCCAACTTTTTTGAAGTGGTTTGGCATCCTACGTTGCCGAGATTCATCGCAGCAACTTCACCCTCACAGTTGAAAGTCGTACCTGGCGTTCGGACACAGATTCATCTGTTTAGAGAACAGGATGGCGCCTATGCTGAATATCACAACCTTGACTGCCTTGCGGCAGACATTAACGAACTGACATTCATGCCCAACTCCTCGAGGCATGCATATGTTACTGCAGCGTGCACTGACGGCAAAGTGTACGTCTGGGACACTGCTCAAGGAGACAAACCTGTGCACATACTGCAGCACGGCCGTCCTTTGGACGAGTACTATGAAGACCGAGAAAAGGAAGATACCGGAGTTAAGTTTACGGCTTGGGGGAATAATCTGGATCGGTTCTACTCAGGCGCCAGCGATGGGACTGTCAAGGTGTGGAATGTGCGTAACAAGCGCAAGCCATACTTGCGAACCCTTTTAGAGGCTCCTGGTCCCATTTCTTGTGGCGCTTTTTCTCCCGACCTACGGAAATTAGTCGTTGGGGATGCCACGGGCCGAGTGTTTTTGTTTTCTATAGACAAGGAAGATGAGCCAGAGGCACATTTCATTACGATCCCGGGTGTAGACCGCCAGCTTCGACGTCCTACACCATTTATACCACACCGCGACCCAGAACCTCCAACCCGGAACCCAGCGGGTCCGGAAGGCATTTATGACGATGAAGACATTCATATTGCTGATTTGGTGAAGCGTTCCTACCTTGACACAAGGCAGATTGTGATTAACCCTAATCCTACTATTGGTGCCGTACAAGGGCCAGAATATGCCGCAACAGGGCTCTTCCGCCGCGAGGCACACCTGAATGAAGACCCAGCAGGCCATTTACTTAGCTACTTTGAAAGAAACCAGAGACAGAGCATCGAAGCCAGCCGCGGCGGGTTCGCCCGCTCAGTACGCAGACTCCGAGACCCCGGAGAAGCAGATGCCGTGATGAAAATACAGCACTATACAAATAGGACGCAGGAGCTGGATATAGAAACCATTTCTGCAGACGACCTTGCGGATCTACTGGCTTGCAAGGCGGAGTTGTCGATGAGTGAGGTGGATTGCGGGTTTGTATATGAGGAAATGCCAGAGGAGCAAGAACAGTAAATAGAAAGCGCAGATTAGGTGAATGGATACCATGCAATGCAATGGGCCGCGAGCGGATAGATTTCGGGGGGGGGGGGGGGATACCATGATATACAGGGGAAACATATGTAAATTCAAGATTCGTTACAGTAGCAACGTTGCCCGCTAGATGGGCTATTCAGAAATTATCACACGCAAAGATTTCTGTCTGTTAAATTGTCTTGATTGTTTGGTGAGAGCGAGAGCGTACTTGTGGAAGATTGACGACAGAGGATTGATCGAGACACAGCAGACGTGTGTTTGTTAGCTGTCATTAAAAACCGCGCAACGTGAATAATTAAGAATCAAAAAAAAGAAAAACAAAGGAAAATTAGTCCGAAAAGATACAAAAAGAAAAATAAATGCGTCATCCGGAACTCGAATCCGGGCCTCAACTTTTCAGCATGGAAGAGTTGAATCCTAACCCCTAGACCAATGACGCTTTTTTATCCTTGAGACACGTCGGCAGTAGAGAGCTTATGAAGCTACCCGCATCTATCGTGATGGCTTAGTGTAGCTTGTGTACAAACTGTATACACTGACCAAAGAACAAAAGAAATAACATAAAAATATCTATACTGTTTAAAAGGAGTCATCTCACGTACGGCTCATCAAGTGTCTTCCCAATTGGAGAAACAAAAAGAAGAGACCAACATGTCTGCTAAAAAAAGAAAAAAAGAAACGACACCTGCAGGATTCGAACCTGCGCGTGCGAACACAATGCCTATGATACCAATTGATAGCAGGGCATCGCCTTAACCACTCGGCCAAAGTGTCTAACCGTTCATGGAATGACCACGTCTCAAACAACCTTATCAATTCCGCATCGACCTCATCGACAGAGTACGACTCCTTCAGAAAGGGGGATGATGGATGTTGATAACACCCGTGCCTACGATTTGACATGCTCCTCACGAATTACAGTTGTACAAGGACTGATAATCGAAATATAAATTCAAAGAAATAAGATATCATTGCTGCCCATTCTCGCTTGAGCCTTTGTCGTAGCAAAAGCCATCTCCGCTGCGTAACCCTTTTTGAGTTCCAATAATCCAAGAATTCAGTTCTACCAATCTAACATCCCATTCAGCCGATTTCAAAGACTGCACTAACAAGCAAAAAAAAAAAGAGAAAAAAAAAAGACGCAAGTAAGCAGTGAGGAATATGAAGATGAAAATCAAGGGGGAAAAGGTGAGGGGGGAAATGCGCAGAGAACGTGCTAGTAACAAAAGGGGAAAAAAAAAAGATTCCTTCGTCGTACGCAGGCGAACAAGAGGAGAGAGAGCCTCGATCTGAACTCTTTTGTCTACGCATATCCAAGGTCCTCGCCGCTTCCTCGACGCTCGCCAAACAGATACGCTGCTTCAAGACAGAATCGTCCATGGCCCCTTTCCATTCGTCGCTCGCTGCCGTAGCAAATCAAAACTGCGTCGACGATTCCGCTGAGAATGCCTTCCATTGCGCCCATAACCGAATACCCAATGAAACTAGCCATCATGCCAACCACGTATGCGTATGCTGATCCTCGGACACCCACGCCATCTGGAAGCTGGATTCGCAGCTGCTTTGCGGTAATGACCCAGCCCGCGAAACCAAGGCCTGTGGCCATAATCAGTCGTGTTGCGACCAGAAGCAGCTTGGCTAGCCGGTAAGGCAGCAGGCCGTTCCCTTGGCCACGTAGACGTAGAGCCCTGGGTGTCAACGTAGTAGTAGGGATTGCAGCCGATACAAACTCCATCTGATCAAGGCCTCGGGCAGACGTGGCCAGGCCTTGAGAGTGTATGGCTGCAAAAGTAATTGTGAGAGGGTTTGTGAGAGCCACCACGGGCGTTGGAATCCAGAATGAGGCGACGTTTGTAATGATTGCGCCTATCCTCCTGGGTAGAAAAATCAATGGCGCCCGGATGAGAAGGGACAGCAGGGTTGATTCACAAATGCTGCCAAAGATTGTCGTCGTACCGTGACTCAGGGCTGCCAGGACAATCTCCTTTGAGGGGGTAGAAGGTCCCGCGTTGCGGTGAAAGTACCACTGAGAAACAGTCGCAGCAGTCGTCGCTCGGTGTATCGCGTTGATGACGGACAGCGTCCACATATACATGAAGACAAAGCCTGCGCCGAGCCACCAGCTGGAGAAGCGAATCACAAATTGAACCAGGGACTTTGAGAAATACCCGCCCATGAACACCCGAGTAAACATGGCCAGCCATACCCAAGTCCACACAACAATTAATGCCAGGCAGCCAAATCCCACCAGCAGGAGCCCTGGATTTTGAGACAAAATCTTGGAGGAAAATTGAAGGATTTCAATGGCTTGCTGAATTGCTCTCCGGCCCTTGACGACGAGCCACAGCCACAATATGCACGAAGCTGCGGGGACAGCAGCTGTCCATCTCATGACGCTATCCTGAAGGCTGGTCCCATGTGTCCGCCCCTTGAATGACGACGCAAACGAGAAGACGGCAAAGGAAAACATGATGGCCGGCACAGCGACTAGGATCACAGTAACCAGTGGCCGGACAAAGGACCGCAGCGCCGCCAGCCATACAAATGACACCATTACTGCCACCACGGTATCGACCGCGAGCATGTTGAACGATTTTTGTAGCGTGATATAGATGGTATCGCCCACAGGGCTGCTCCTTGGCGAGGTGTTTAGCCATACCAGGACAAAAGTAGACATCATGCCGGCGAGACAGATGCAGAATATCCATGCGAAGAAGGGATCGTGTCGGAATATTTCTCCTTCGATGAACATGTTTCCCGCCAAAGCTGGGTCAACTTCTGGTGGCTCCGTGTGTCGCGTGCTGGCCATGCCGGCATCACTTCTTGCAGAGCTCGATATCAGAGGCGTTCGTCCGGAGTGGTCTTTGAATCGCTGGAACGCGGGGGGACTTCCGTCGACGGCCTCTCCAAACAGCGAGTCGGGCGGATCCTCGTCAGGGTCCTCCTGCGATCCAAGACCAACATCAACCATGTTCCCCCTATGATCACCATGATCACCACCGCGATCGCTTCCGCCATATCTGCTATCCTCGTTATCGCGATCAACTTCTTCTCCCTCCTCCTCTTCCAACGGTGTGTCCCTTGCAACGGAAATTTGGTGTGAGCTCCTAGTCCCATTCCAACTGCTCTTGATGCCTCGGCCAAAGCCTTGGGCTCGATACGGGTGGTCGAACTGACTTGAGCTGTCTTCAAGCGAGCCTCGACTATTGGCGTCTGATTCAACGCTGTCGGCCAGTTTGCTGGCAGCCGCTACCCGCCGAGATCTCTGCAGCGCATAGAGATCAGCCGCCTCCCTATCGCGCTCCTCCTCGTCATCCTCCTCCCGAAACTCGTCCAGCGTGCTGTGGAACAGCGGTGCATCCTGCGCAGCTGTTATGCGAGAACCAAACGCGAGCTGGCCAAAACGCGAACCGCCGCTGCCGCCAGCTCCTCCTCCTCCGCCACCGTTCTGATATGGGTTGCCCCTAGAAAGAAACGACCGCTGGCCCCCATTTCCGCGACCGGCGTCTCGGTAGGGCCGAGATGGGCGTGAAGACCAATCGTTTTGTCGAGATGTATTATCGTTGTCTGGCTGGCCAAAGTTTGATAGCCTCGACTGCGACTGTGCGAGGAATTTTGAGGCATCTAAACATACGGCGTTAGCAGCAAGTTGGGGGATACGCAGCCTCGCAGGATGCAGTGTCGTCACTCACACTCGGAAAACATGATGCCCCTTCACCTGCCGCCGCCCCCACGATAAGAGGCTGGCCCGGCTGTCACCTCGATGGTTGCTTCGCTGCGGTTATGCTGAGCGGCAGTTTGTTATTATCTTGTCGCGGCAACGGCGTTGTGATGGGATCGGCTCGCAGGCTGGTGGCGATGACGAAAACGCTGGGACAGGCAGCAAAGACTAAGACGGGCGCTCTCCCTTGCATGTAACGGGGAGAGTAACGGCCCAAGATGAATAGGGAAGACCAAAAATATTACACTGTAAAAGGGATATGAGTAAGATGTATATGCGGCAGTTGTTCAGTCGCCAGGTTGGAGAAACAACCAACAAAAAAAAAAGATGTGCCTCGTTGTAAAACGAAAAGAGAGAAGCACTGAGAAGGGTCAGGCGACACAAGGCGGATGAGTCGGTTTGGTGACCTCGATAGCCCAAAACTTAGTGAATGGCTAGGGGACGACTGGAGCGTGCCGTGGCCGGTGTAGAGCCTAAACTTTGCTGGCGGTCAGCGCCTCAGCGAGAGCCACAGGTGACTGGGCGGCAGCCCCGTAAGTCTTAGGCCTAGTACCCGCGAGGGAGGTACCTCGTAATACAGCCAGGGAGAGGCTCTTGGAGGATCCGCATCCGGGTGCTGCCTGCTGGGATGGCACAGGCTGCAAGTCCCGGCCGGAGGATCCTCGTGGTACCTGGGACTTGCGTTGAGTGAGCACAAGGGCAACGCGCCCGTCAGTTGATCCAGCATTACATGCTAATACTTGGGAGTTGGATAAGACACAAACGGAGCAGCCAATAGTAAATGGCAGCATTAGTACCCGAGCCCTAACAAAGCTTGAGCAGTTGAGGCTGCGGCTTATACAAACGATGGCGCCATCACGGCTCCGGGAGTAGTCTCAAGCTGCAGCTGCCCAAGGGCTCAATCAATCAAAAAGGCAGCACAGCTTCAGGACCTAAAAATCCACCTCGGACTGCATTATGCATCTGCTGCTGTAGCTGTCTGTCGGTACACGTACAATCACCACTATTGAGATGCGCATACGGCTGCCTATAGCACCACAGGTATGCAGTACCGGATTTGACGCTTCTTTCACAAGGCAGCTGCCGCGCCGTGCTACTGTAGGAACGGCCCCTAAGCAAAGCGCTGGACCGCGGGATTCTTACCGCTAGGCCGGTCACCGTCTCGTCATGATGCCGTTATCGCTCTCTTGCGTCACCGATAACAGCTGCATCCGCCGCGGCCAGTTTAGGCACAGCAGATGCAGATGCCAGACGTCAAGGACTGCCGGCTATTTATGCACGGCTCTGCAGTAGCCGTAAAATCGATCATCATCGGTGAGGCATCCGATCTGCTAGCCGAGAATTCTGTCATAATTTAATTGTCCCTCACATATTAGAGGGTTAAAAAAAGAAAACAAGAAGAAGAAGAAAAAGACCCCGGCCCCCAAAATCGCTTCTCCTCCTTCTCCAGCTTTTCCCTCAACGCACGGGTCACACCAAAACCAGGCCTGTCAGCTCCTCTCTTCTCGCTGGCCCGTGACAAGCCATCGTCACCTGCTCTTTTTCCTTTACAACCCAAGACAGGCCCTTTCAACTTGTATTTTTTCCCCATTCCTTATCATTCCTGTGTAAATTCTCCCAACCCGCCGCGTCCGCTTATTTTTTTTCACTACAATACTTTGAAACCTCCCCTCGTCGATTGCGTCAACGGCTTTGAGAACCGATTTTGTCCTGGCCGTTTCTTCCACGCACGTGCCGTTCGCCGCAGCGATAGCCTCGAACCCACTCAGTTGCACTTCTATACATTCAACGAACCACCACCCCAACAGTTATAGCTCTGGAACTTGCGCTTGTAATAATCCCAGGTGGTTCGACCATTTATATAATCCACCTCTTCAGCTCCTCTTCTTCGTCATCCGCCTCTCTCGCTACTTCTCTCCAAACACCTACAGTCTTGCGCCAACTGCGCAGCTTGTTCATCTCTCCCACATGTCCTCCTCCTCAGCGCCCTGGGACTACATCGCCAAGCTGGTTTGCATAGGCGACTCGGGATGCGGCAAGTCCAGTCTCACCATCCGCCTCTGCGAAGGCCGCTTCTCCGCGCACCACGACGTCACAATCGGCGTTGAATTCGGCTCGCGCATCGTGCCCGTCGGCCCGCCTCACACGCCCGCCGGCGCCATCGCATTCCCTCCCTCCTCGTCCTCCGCCACCGACGATGCGCCGCCCTCGCCCGGCGGGCTCCCGGAACCGCCGCGCGACACCAGCAACACCCCCCAGAAGCATATGAAGCTCAGCCTGTGGGACACGGCCGGCCAGGAAACATACAAGTCCGTCACGAGGTCGTATTTCCGCGGCGCAAGCGGCGCGCTGCTCGTCTTTGACCTGTCGCGCAAGGCCACCTTCCAGCACGCCACGGATTGGCTCAACGACCTCCGCCAGATTGCCGAGCCCGACATTGTCATCGTCCTGGTCGGCAACAAGGCCGATCTGACACAGCAAGAGGACAACAAGCGAGAGGTCACCCGGGAGGAGGCGGAAGAGTGGGCCAGGCGCAACGGCATCCTCGAGTATGTCGAGACGAGCGCCAAGAGCGGCGAGAACGTGGAAAAGGCCTTTATGAGAGTCGCCGAGAGGATATACCAGAACATCCAGGCCGGCAAGTATAATCTAAACGACAGGAGATCCGGCGTCAAGGGCCCCAGTGCCGGTGGAAGCCGGCAAGTGAGGTTAACAGCTGATGCCAGCAAATCAGGCGGCGGATGTTGTTGATTTTTCAAAGTCATCATCAAGTTTTCCTTGTGTATAATGCGAATCGTAAAGCAAGACAGCCGTGTTGAGCAAATATGAGAAGAACGAGAGGAGGATGAGAGAGCCAGCAAGCAAGCAAGACATGATACCCGATGGGCTTCATCATTACATGATATTCTGGTCGTAAAGGACCTTTGGAAAGACATGGCCAAAACAACTGGAAACATGGCACTGTATAATAATAGTAGATGCTTCAAAGCACAATTGGTATTCAAGCCTGTAATCACATGCATACACGTCTATTTCTTTACTTACATAAAGATTGGGGGGAGGGGGATATACGTCTTGCATTAAATGCGGTTTATAGTATTTTCCGCCAACCCTGATTTGTTCCTATCATCTTCTTTATATGACTTTGCGAAATTCCTTCCTACCTATCCCGTTGCTCTTCTTTTCTTCTTCGATAATGCGAAAAAAATCGTCTCCATCCCATTCCGCGCCTTTTAAATAAAATCTTACACGTAACTATTTTTTTCCGTTTTTAGAAATGAGTAGCCCTCTCCTTTCGCTCATCCCTCCACTCTTCTTTCCACCGCCATGATAAGACAAAAAGGGAAAAGAGCTTTTGACAACCAACATGAAGTAAGATATCAAGTAAATCATGCTCGCCATCAATGCTTGTCAAAGGTGCCTAGTTCTACTAGATAAGAAAAAGGGTTTTAGTCGCTGATGCGCCAGTTGTCAAACCACTTCAGGTACGAATACTGCTGGTTGTTTCCAGTCATGCCCCAGCAGATGGGCATAAACAGGATATAAAGCCCGATAATGACGCTGTACAGGACGCCATAGATGACGCCTTGCACGACGGCTGCGCGGTTCCTCATGGTCCAATCGACCAAGAAGCCCAGAGACAGGATGGCGAAATACAGGGCAGGGTAGTAGTGGTGCACGTAGGTGACACGCGCCATGATGACAAAAGGAAGATAGTGCAAGAACCAGCCGATGATGGGGTAGATACCGGCGTAGTGGATCTGGTCAATCTCCTGGTTGTCCAGCTCCCTGTAGCCGCGCTGCCATCGCACGATATACCAGACCACGACGAGGCCGACGAGGCCGAGAGATACTGTGCTGCCCCAGTAGATGAATGGGTTGCCAAGGAGGAAATACTTGACAATGTTGTCATCCCAGCCGCACATACGAAGTCCCACGTTGAGGATGGGCCATTGCCACCACTGGGAGGCCAAGTCGTCCTGCTTATCGGGATCCGGCACAAGGGCATTGTTGGATGTCATCATGGCTACGTTGAGATGGATGAAGTCGTGGATGAAGGGCGACTTGTAAACATTGGGATCACTCTCAGGGACTAGCAAAGGTTAGCGATCATCGTCACAAGTAGTAGAGGTCCAATTATGATGTACGACTTACGCTTGTCGTTCCAGTGAGCCTCAACGTTCCAGTGAGTATAAGTGTCACGAGGATTGTTTTGCTTGTCACAAGTAACTTCAATCTGCTTGAAGCCCCATTGAGGAAGGTTGACGTTGCCTGCTCGAAGATAGCAGTCCAGTGCAGTGTGCTTGAGACGGAAAGCAGTAGTCAAAGTGCGGATCTTGCTGCGGTCACGAGATGCCGCATCCCGGACAACTTCAATCTGCCAGTGATCCTTGTCATCTCCAACAGTGAGGTTACCGTAGCTAGAAACCTCGCGGTGGGACTTGGTAACGGGGGCGTCAATATCGTGAGAGTGCAAGTTGCGGCCAGTCTGGGCGTGAATGAGGCGAATGACTGATCCATCACCGATGAATCGCAAATCACCTTCGGCGTCGTAATCGGGCTCGTAGCGGTTGGGGTAAAAAAACCAATCGTTGTTGGCATCTTTGTGGTGGTAGCAGGTGACTTGCTGCTGGCCAGAGCCCTCAGGGTAGGTCTGAACGTGAGAGTGAAGAAGACCACCGCCATAACCCATGTTCTTGATAGTGGCGCGAGATCCAAGGGCAATCTCAAGAGGGCTGTTCTTGCCGACCTCGGTTCCCTTCAAGTTGGCTTGGAAGAGAGAGCTCATCTGGGCATCGCCGGGACCGGTGGAATCGAGAATGGCAAAATGCAGAGCAAACGAGAGCATGTAGATGAGGAAAGGAACGACGATGAGTCCCACGACACGAGCGGAAAAGTGAGCGGCGAGAACAGGCTATAACAATATGGTTGTAAGTAGGCAATTCGGTCAACATGGCAAGAGGAAACAGGGGACCCCAAAAAGAAAAGACTCACAATCGGCATCCTCCTATCGCCATACTTTGCCCAGAGATCCTCAATTGTGTAAAGACCGACAAGAGCAGTAACAAAGAGACCCACGAGCTTGACACTGCAAACACATCCAATGCTTACACCAGTCATGAAGAGCCAAAAAAACCATTCGGGCTCGAAGCTGTTGCGTCGCTGGTTGTGGAATTTGGCCCAGCAAAGAGTGGTAGCAAAGGTTCCACAGAGCAGCATGGAGTCGAGGAGAATAAAGCGGCTGATTGTGGTGTAGGAATTTTCGCACAGAACCATCAGCGTAACGAGCCAGACAGCAGGTCGAGTCAGCTTGAGCTCCTTGGCGGTAAAGTAGGCCATGGGGATACAGGCAATGCCAAAGGCGGCATTAAAGGCTCGCATAAAGGTGTAGTTGACATCTTCGGGGTATTTCTCGCCAGACTTGAACTCGAAGGATCCGTTGTAGCCGGCGAGGACTCCAGAGAGACCAACCAGCATCTTTCCCAGGGGAGGGTGGACGTCGAAGTAGTATTCATGCTTGATGTAGTAGCTGCCAAACTTGCCAAAGCTGTTGGTACAAACAATCAGCAAACCCGCTCCAATTCTAGCGTCAGAGAGACCAGGATCCTTGTACGTACTGAGCCTCATCCCAAGTCACGATATCGCTAATGCCGATTTTATACAATCGAGTGAAGATGGCAACGGCCGTGAAGATCAGCGGGGCAACGATGGACTCTATATCTGCAAACACTTCGAAGAAGGATTTCTCCTGCAACCGCTGTCAGTCAACCCCTGTTGCGCGCAATCGGGAAGAGCCATTGGCTCTAGATGCCTCTCTATTACCTTCTTCGCAAGCTTCTTCTTGTCATCTGGCTGGGATGCATTGAGCGAGGGCGCGCCTGGTGAGGCAACCTGTCGCTTCCTCAAGCCATCGCCCAGGTCAGCGCCAGAGGCGAGAGCGGCCTTTTCGGCAGCCATGGTTCCGGAGGACAACTTTCTGGTGTCGCCAGAAGTTGCAGGCGGAAATCAAGAATCAATTGAGTCGATAGAAAAAAATTTCAAAGCAGCGGGAGGAGAGAAGAATAGGGGAGGGTCACGCTCGGCCAGCTCCCAATGCGGCACAATTTGTAATGACTGGACGAGTTTGGGGGACTCAAACGGCTATAACATCGACGACGGCGACGACGCGGCACCGTCGATTCGAAAAGGGAGAAAAGGAGGAAAGCAGCAATCCTCAAGGCCAAGTCCGGCTCAGGGGAGAGAAACGAAGTGGAAATGACAAAGGAGGTGTTTCTGGCGGATATTGCTGCTTGCGTCGGATATTCCAAGAATACGACAGCTTCCTGAAGCCCCCCCTGGTTCAGCTAAGGAATATTGGCCACCTTGCAATCCCTCCAGCTAGTGCTCAGCCGCGTGGCTAGTGGCGTTCCTTGCTGCTGCGACTATTTGCGCGTAGTGCGTACCTAGTTGTAGCTCGCCCTCTTGTTTTCGCTCCCGCATACCAGCCCACTACCTGCGGCCAGGTACACCAGCGGCCAGCAGCCACCAGCCACAGCTGAGACGACGACTGAGCCACAGCGGGCGAGCAAGCGCTGTATTAGAAGGCCGGTCCCCTGTAGCAGGCAGTCTAGGCAGTCTAAGCAGCTGCCGGATTGTTGGGCTGGAATTCCCTTTGCTGGCGCACAATCACATGCAAGCGTCCCGCCACTAGACCTGCTTATGGCACTGCTGCGACGAGACAGCATTTTCGTTGGTCCCGAGAATGATGCTAGTCTGCTAATCTGATCCCTGCCTTATGTCATCCTTGCGATCATCGCTGGCCATATCCTACTAGAATCTCGCCGACGCCTGGCCGGCCATCGCACGACTTCCTTCAAGCCTTACCTGACTTCTGGCCTCCGGACGCCAACCAGATGGAAACTCTCACCAGCTGAGCATGTCTGACTGACCTTGGACCGCATCTGCTGTTGCTCCTCCCGTATCCTCCTTCGTGTCTCTTTTCATCTCTTATAAAGCACAGGCATCACCGCCTTTCCACGGCTGCCCGTCTTATTGCATGAGCAAGGTAGTAGCCTCATCGTGCTCGTACTTAATCTTAGACGTCCCCCCGTCCCTCAGCTGCGCCTCAGCGGCAGGTGCTGCGGTTGCGCCCACCAGCCCTCCCGATGCCTTCCCTTGTGTCCGAATTCATCATCAACCCTGTGCTGCGACAGGCCCGGCGCTTTTCTGAGATCTCCCGTGCAACGCCACCGGTAGCCGGAGAGGAAGACACGTCCGTGGTCCAGGCGGATGCCGTCCACGATTCGGATGATGCCGAGGATGTCGCGCAGCAGGGACCCAGTCTCCCGCTAGAACGGCAGCGGTCACGGCCTCTGAGCACGTCAACCCAGGAAACGATTGTTGAGGAGGCCGCCGTTGAGCCGGTGACGCCCAATGGACCGCTGCTCGATCATCTGGGCTTCCCCATAACGCCGCCCAGAAATGCACCAGCCAAGAAGGGCGGGCCCATCCCGGAAGACGATGGCATGCGAGAGCTGCGGACCCGCATCCAGGAGATCAACTGCCGGGAGATCTCATCTGGCGAAAAGGCAAGGCTCATCCACGATACCCTGCTGGAGGGCTATCGTGCGTCCATGATCACGGCCACGTCCCTGGGCAAAGGCGACTCGGATGATGGATCAATTGGCCATGTATGGGAGCCGGCCAGCCCGACCGGGCCTCTTGAAGCCTTCAAGTACTGGCAAAATCAGGTCATGGGCGAGCCATCAGTTAAAGAGACGTTTGTCTTGAGCGAAAGTGACATCGCCCCGACTTATGCCCCTATCCGGCACTCAAGAACACCAAGCGTAACGACGCCGACGCACTCGGCTGCTTCGCTTACTGAAACTCGGGGTCCGCTGGGATGTGAGCACTATGAGCGGAACGTGAAGCTGCAGTGTTCCACCTGCAAAAAGTGGTATACTTGCCGGTTCTGCCACGATGCAAACGAGGATCACACGCTGATCCGCAAGGACACAAAGAACATGCTCTGCATGCTTTGTGCTACGCCCCAGAAAGCATCTGATGTATGCAACAACTGCGGCGAGGTCACGGCCCAGTATTACTGCAATATTTGTAAGCTTTGGGAGAATCGCCCCAACAAGCCCATCTATCACTGCAATGACTGTGGAATATGTCGCCGAGGTATGGGACTTGGAAAGGACTTCTTCCACTGCAAGGTGAGTTTTACTTTTCAAAGCTTTTTCATAAGATGCAGTTGTTAAACAGCTTTATTAGACATGCCGGGCATGCATCACTACATCGATCGAGAGCTCGCACAAGTGTATCGAGCGATCAACTGACTGCGATTGCCCCATCTGCGGCGAATACATGTTTACGTCACCGAAACGGGTAGTATTCATGGTATGCGGCCATAGCATACATAAAAAGTGCTATGAGCAGCATCTGAAATCGTCGTACAAGTGCCCGCTTTGCAGCAAAAGCCTCGTCAACATGGAAACGCACTTCCGCAACTTGGAGCTTGCCATTATGAGCCAACCCATGCCGCCAGAGTTTTGTGACACAAAAGCCAAGATTCTCTGCAACGATTGTTCTGCCAGAAGCACCGTGGCATACCATTGGCTGGGCCTCAAATGCTCGATTTGTCGGTCCTATAATACGGTAGAGCTGCAGATAATGGGCCGGAACATCGAGGAACTCCAGGCAGCTGCTGGTGACCAGCCTCCGATTGCAGAAGAAACCAATTTGGCAGAGGCCGTACCTGGAAATCGGCGAATCTCCATTACGACAGGCCCGCGACCAATCCCGGGCCGTAATAGACGGCGACACTCTTCCAATGCACCCGAGCCCCCGTCACGCATAATAGACAGATATGCGCGGTCGATGTCGCCTACACGCCTGATGATGGATATACCGCAGCCAGCCGTTCTTGAAATGGACGGAGAGTCCGACGATGATATCTTGGGCTTCTGGAGAAGCGGCGAAGATGATGAAGACGATGGAGCTAGCGAAGATGATGATGATGAATATGATTCCGAAGAATCCAGCGATGACGATGCTCCCGAGGCAGACGATGACGATGAAGACGACGATGAAGATGAAAACGGGATCAACTTGATTGGACACAGATGATGAACTGTTCGATGACTCGAACCTTGAGCTTTTAATGACAACACGCACATTACCATTTAATAACAACCATAACATACGGAGAAGCAAGTAACCTACATTCATAAGGGGCGTCTTTCTGGAGCGGAGTTTGGCGATTGAATAAGTTTTGCTTCCCGGGATACCACTTCTTTTTTCTCTTTTCTCAATTTTCCTTGTACCACTTTCCTACTGGATTTGCATTTACGGATTGAACATGACAGCACGGCGTATCATAATTGATGGGGTTCTACCGACGGTAAAAAGGATTCGCTCATTCAAACATATATATAGTAAACAAAAAAAGAGGAGGAAGCATTTTTTTGGAGTATCAAGATTGAGAGACATCAAACTGGGAATCGGGTCGTTTTTTTTTTTTTTTTTTTTTTTTTTTTTTTTTTTACTTAATTCAACATTTACTATGTAAAACAGTAGTTTCATCCCTCGGTGGTAATATATAGCCCTTTGTAAACACACACGCCTTGAGCGCCATGAAGAATAGTTGATAGGATCCCAGCTCAAAAGCAAGTAACACTCATTACATTTCATAAGAAAAGAAAAGCCCCCAAAAATGTCAAACGGTGCGCAAAACATCAATCTGAAAATCATTTTAAAGAAGCGCGGTTGACGTTGGTTTCACCGACGGCTATTGGCTATAGCGGCCTCTTGCTGCTCGCGCCTCGTCTCGTCGGCAATCTCACGCAGCTCCTTGATGACTTGCTATAAGGAGGCGTTAGCAAACACTGATTCCAACATCTGAAATTCTACATGCATACGTTGCGTGCACAAACAGGAAGAAGGAAGACAAAGTGTTTCAGCGGCACATACAACTAGTGACTCGGGATGAACGCCCTGTTCAATCAATGAGATGCACGTCGACAGCATGCGACGATCCATGTGGCAGTTCTAGAGCGAGAAAAAGGTCAGCATGAGATTGGGAGAGAAGAGTTCAGGGTTCTGCGTGCGTACCAGCATGGCGGCAATCTCCTCGAGAATATCAACGGCTTGGGACGCCGCGGCGTGTTTGTCTGGCTTATCGGGCTTGGGCATGGCGAAGGTTTGATTTAGATGGCGGTGGTTGAGAGTTTGAGAGAGAGCCTGGAGGTTTGTTTGGATGCTTGGGAGGTATGGATAGATGGATAGTGGGGCCTGACGCGCTGATGGCAGGCAGCTTTAGCGGTGTTGGTGCAAGTCGCTGGTGATTGTCAGGGGGGAAACATACTGAGACTACTTACAGCAAAGCAAATATTATGTCTATTGCTTGGGGTTGCATTCACTGATGCTCTTCGTAACGATTGAAGGATTTTTAAGCACTGATTTACTTTGTTGAACATGTATATGCTTTGGTTCGTTGCGTTGCATCATGTTGGAATATCATAAGAGCTGAGACATCAGTTACATTAACAACTTTCATGCAGCTCATTATCTGCGGGTATCTGGCATATACTATAGCTTCATCATCATTAAGCAAAAGAAAGTCATAATCCTCCTCCTTCAAGACTTGATCGCCTCCACAAACAGCTCCCGCATCCCCTTCAGCAGCACCACCAGCTCCCTCGTCTCATTCACCCTGTCCAGCACCCTCTCGACGCTCTCCCGCTCCAGCTTCGGCCGGCAGTGCTTCACGTCGTAGTCCCTCGAGCTCGTCACCAGCTCAAACCACGCCTCGCGCTCCCAATTCTTCTCGTCAATGTGCGTATACACAAACTTGAGCCTGTCGTCCTTTCCTGCGCCCTCGATCCGCATGCACAGCGTGGAGATCCAAAAGTCCAGCTCGGGGACGTTGTACCGCGACTGTGCCTCCTTTTGCTTGTTATACGCGCGCTGGGCGGCGATGCGGGTTTCGATCTCGGCTTGTGTCTCGGCGATTTGGGCCTTGAGGTGGTCTCTGGTGGCGATGTGGCTGTCGCGCTGGGCTGCTAGTGATGAGATGGCCATTTCCATTTCGCGCTTCTCGGCCTCTTCTTTCTCGATTGTCTGTTGGTAGGTGGACATCTTGACTTGCGCGATTTCAATGTCCTTTCTCTTCATTCGCTCGTCCTCTGCGGGTAGTGGTAATTAGCATCTAGATATTTGGCATTTTCTTGTATCCCAGCACCCCGCAGCTTTCCAGCAGCGCATACCTTGAAGCTCGGCCATGTTGACGCGGAACTGATTGCGCTCTTCCAAGACACGCTTGCGGCCTTGTTCAATGAATGCATCGAATTTGGCCGTAAATTTCGCCATGCGCTCGCGCAAATCGTCGAAGCCAAAGTCGATGCTGGGCAGCGTGTCGGCGGCGGAGGGGCCAGCGGGCGCGATTGTCTGGCGGCCAGGGCCGATTGACATTGACGGATCGAAGGCATTCGACATGGTAAATGCTGTATTTGTTTTCTTCGAATGCTGTGCTGGACGCAGAATAATGTTCAAGGCTCGGGCGTCGAATTAAGGCAGAAAAGCTGGGCCGCTGATGCTCGTTAAAATCGTCCCAGTCTGCGGCTCGTGTTTACCAAGAAAAGAACGTTGCTGGGTCGACTATGGCTTAAGGCGCGATCACGTGACTTGACCAAAGAACTTCAACTGCGATCAGATCAACTCAACTGGAATACGCTTAAATGATCGGTATTGAAGCAAGATAATTTTGGCTTTTTGAAATGGGGAGATTCTTAATGCACAACCTATTATAATACTAAACCGAATCATATCCGACTACCCGCTCTATATGACCCCGAATGGAAACTCGGTCATCTCTGGTTAACTCGAGATGACGGAGAAAAATTGTCACCCTTTTTTTTTTTCACATCCAGTACATTTGCTTAAGTCACAATGGCTGACTGGTGGCCTGATCCTCTCATGGGCCTGGGTGCTCCGGGGATATTGAAATATATTCCGAGCGAGCATCCTGGAGAGACGCTGGGGATTCTTGAGACGTCCCGGATCACTTCAAAGTGTATGTGAAGAATTGAGGAGTATATCGGTAATCAATCGTCTGCTGATAAGAGTTGAAATTCATATGCAGCTCCTCATTTCAGGATTATTGGCTCTTCGGTCAAGACTTATGCAGCTTCAAGAACTCAGCTTCCCGAAGCATCCACGAGGCTCTGGCGAGAGCGCCAGGTCCAAGAGCGATGGCTGTCCAAGTCTCGCCCAGAGATCGCCATGGGCAACACTGCCTTTCAAGATATTCTCAGAGGAGATATGGAAGAGCTGAGCATTGCAAACGAAGCCCCTAATACTAGACCTTTACTAGCTGTTGGGCATTCTGCTGATCCTAGCGACAAATCTGGGGCCAAGAAAATCCCGATAATGGCCGTCGCCTCTGGAGAAGCAGGCGAGGTCCTACGTCTTGCTCGCATGGAAGATGCGCAATGGCAGTGGGGGGACAATGGAGATGCGTTTTTAAACTCTGCAATCATCGACCCGGCCGACAAAGCCGCAGAATCAACTTGGGCTGACGATGGATTACCTATTCGACAAGTCATATTCGCCGGGAGCCGTCTGCAAGATGAGTCGAATCGTTGGCTAATAGTTCAAAAGGAAACAAAGACAACTATTCTCTGGCCAGAATTCCGTGAGGTTCCAACAGCTTCGACTCAATCAGTTGGTGATTTCGCACAAAAACGGCCGTCGCTAATCAACCCACATCCCTTATTCACGATTCATTCTCACCAGACGGGAGGGAGTGCTCATTCTGACGTCGCTCTAATTCCTACGGCATCCGGCCGATCACAACAAATTGCCATTATTGACGAGACCGGATATTGGAGCATCTGGGATCTCCCCGCGGCTTGGCAAAGCCAGCGAAAAGGGCTGTCTCAGCTATCGCTCACCAAATGTGGACACATTTCTGATGGCCTATTAAATGAGCTACCATCTACATCCTCCCACCGAAATGAGAGACACGGCGTTCTCATTGTGGAGGGCGAGGGGCCCCAGAAAAGGGAGAGCTCGCCTTCCCCGTCATATCACGAGAAGGGCAACACTACTACGCAATATATGCTAATGTGGAATCATGAAAAAGTGGAAGTTTTGAACCTGGATGCAAACATATTGCTTCCCAGACTGGGGCGCATTATACGAGACAGAGGAAAGTTGGATTGGATTTTGGATGTTCACCGCAGCCCCGTTAAACAGGACCACGTCTTCATTCTTACACAGTATCATATTACCTGGGTTGATTTGCTTGGCCGCGATGAATCGGGATCAGGCCCTTTGAAGCCGTCCATCTTGCTGTCTTGCCCACACTTGGGGACTAAACATGACGACTCGAGAATGTTTGTTTGCCGAGCATCAGATGATGATGCAGATACATCGCTGGTCTTTATTTACTATCCGAGAATGGGCCAGCTTTGTATATACTGGTTCACGTTCTCGCCTGTGAGCAGAATGCCGCAATGGCATCGTGACATTATTTCACTCCCGGGAAGCGAAGACAGAGAGTTCCCTGCAAAGAATCTGATTGAGTTTCTAAGAGTTGATCCAGTCCAACTTGCAGTCTCAGTCAGGGAAGGTGCTTCGAGTCCAGGGATAGACTATTACCAAAGAGGAGTCAGGTTCTACCAGCTCTCTTTCTTGGGCAATGATCTCAGCCTGCAGCGTTGTTTATGTGTCACTACCGACGATAGGGCACTTGAAATCCAAGTTCCCACATCGCCAGTGGCCTGGGCTGACGTCAGGCGACAGAAGCAAAAGGGGAAGAGAAGGAGAACGGCTATGGCTCACGTTGCTAGCTCTTTCGTGCTCCCAGATGAGACAACTGCTGAAGATGTTGAAGCTCTGCTAAATGGAGAAGAGGACGAGGATGTAAGTGGTAAAGATGATGTTGGGAGTATCTCCGCAGGCCCACGGCCCGTTTATGCCAAAATGGGCAGGATTTATCAGGCCCTGCAAAGTTCACTTCAGGCATCGATAAGTCAGGGAGAAAGCGGCCTCCCCTCCCACCTTTTCGACGCTCTCAGACAGTGCCTTGATGATGGGTTCGATCAGGGGAGGCTCCCTTTGATGACTTGGTAAGTGGCCATTCCACGGTTCGCGCAGCCTCCCGATTACTAATGATATTATCACTCAGGAACGAAGTAGTCGATGTGATGCTACGGCACCCAACATATGAAGCAGCCGATGATGCCATGATAGAAGAGATGGAGAACTTGCTTGATGAAAATGACGAAAAGATTGTCATCACCCAGCTAAGGAGATACAACGCTGGAGAAGACTCCATGTCTCTAGTCAGTCTGCAGTATTTACAGCGATATTTATCCGAAATGTGGCTCAATCCGGTGAAAGGCGCCATGTCTGAGGATATGCAACGAGTTCGACGAATCTGGGTCACTGAATTGGCCAGGGAAGCCTTCTTGTCCAGCTACGGTATCATGTTTCAGAATATACCAGTACTTGGTCCTGCCAGTTCAGAGGTGGCCGAAGAAGAAGGTTATGAGTCTCGGGCAAAATCTCTTACATTGAGCTCCCAAGTCGCAGCCCCATCACGATCAAGTTCTCGGGATATTGGATCTTCGCCTGTTTCATCGCCAGCTGCGTCAACTGTTTCTCCCGATGCTGATGAAGCTATTCAACGACTTCGACTACTAGCTCAGTCTTTGGATACCAATAGATTGGATGCTTCTAAGCGATCCAGAATACTAGCATACTGGCCGAAAGAGCGTGGTGTCGACCCGAACGACTACGTATCCAGTCTAGCAAGAGCAAATGAAGAGCTCTTTAGAGACGCAAAAGAAAGACTCAAGAGGAAAGAAGCAAAGCGCAAAGCTCACACAGAAAAATTCAAGCGGCCTGCTTTCATGAGACAGGGGCTGCCGGAGATCAATCCCATGGCGCCAATGCGGCCTCAACCCATGCAGATCATGTCCAGCCAGGCGGCTCCAGCTGCGACTCAGACTCAGATGCCTATGGCGATGAGTCAGCCCGTGCGTGGAACGTATGGAGATAGGCAGAAGAAGAAGAAGAAGAAGATTATGGGGTTCAGATGAGGTGTTTTGGACAAGTGCAATTCAAGATGGGACTACATGCCGTAGTAGTAACTGCTTTTGCTTACATGCGGCTATTGGGTTTGGGATTTTTTGAAGGTTTTGATTGATACCCGTTACGACGATATTGGATAGACACGGTTGCTACATAGGGTCAATTATGGATTTGTACCGAGAATAATAGACATTTCTGTATACATGGATTTCTATCGTATTGTAACGTAGCTTGATAAGGGTGGCGATGTTGGCCGTGAGGTAACACTTGCAGTCGCTTTTATTACCATTTGCGGGGCCGCTCTCACTGTCTCAAACAGTCCATCTACATCTAAAAATTCAGTCCATCTCGCATCTCCATTCTCATCAATTTTATTGCAAAAAAAAAAACAAATAACAGACTTCAGCTGCCAATTCTATCTACTACAATTTCTTAATATCATCCAAGTGCCCATTAAAAAAAAAAAAAGAGACAACAATGTCTCACTGCCACGACGAGCATGACCACGGCCACGGCCACGATCACGGCGAGCACGACCACTCCGACGACATCACGCCCGCGCTGCAGTCCTCGCTGTACGAGCAGATCAACTTTGACGAAATAACGACACTCAACGAGGCGCGCAGAGACGCCGGCAAGGCCATTGTCAAGAAGACGTGGGCGGAGCGGCTGAGCCAGGATCCGGAGCTGGAGAGTGACGCTGATGAGCAGCTTCTCATGACGGTGCCGTAGGTTCTCCCACTATAAAGTTGATTTTTCAATACACATTATCAAGCTATATATGAATTAATTGATCATTTATACTAATTCTTCTACACCAGATTCACCGCCCAAATCAAGCTGCACTCCATCCTCATCCGCACATCACCCGCCCTCTCAGCCCCCAAGACGCTGCACCTCTACATCAACCGCGACGACATCGACTTCGCCGCCGCCGAGGAGTCCACGCCGGTGCAAGTCCTGGAGCTGTCGCAGACCTCTGAGGTCCAGGAAATCCCCGTCAAGCGCTCTGCGTTTGGCAGCGTCCAGCGGCTGGTGCTGTTTTTCGTGGACAACTTTGGCGACGGCGACGAGGACGTGTCGCGGATCAGCTACTTGGGCTTCAAGGGCGAGTGGACGAGGCTGGGCAAGGCGCCGACGAATATCATCTATGAGGCGGCTGCGCAGCCGGGGGATCACAAGGTGAAGGGGACGAATGTGAATCAGATGGGGAGCGGGATTGGGGGGAGGGGGCCGGGAGTTTGAGATGATTTTATGAGGATGTGACGGAGGTTATAGAGAGATGGGCGAGAATTAATCATACATGAATCTCTCATATGTTTTCACATCATTCACTTTTGACAAATCCTGATATGATGGGCAACATGAACATTGAACGCAATGAGACGGTACGTACCCCGCGAGGCTGAAGACGAAAACACCCCGCCCGCAGAATACCCGAGCTGCAACTGCAGCACTAGCACCAAAACCTCCAAAATTTCCCATCAGCCCACTATCCAAAGTTCAAGCCGCAACTCGATCGCCCAAAAACCTTCCAGCCCAGAGGGCAACCCACCACCAATTCACACAATAGACAAACAGCACAGGCCCCCAATGCCTCCCAGGATACCCATCCGAGTGGCGCTGCCACGCTTCGCCGCAATCAACCGCTCGCCCTCGCTCCTCCTCCCGCACATCCCCCAGCGCGGCATCAAGTACGGCTGGTCGACGGCACCGCCGCGGTCCAAGCACAAGCGCTTCAACCAGCCCAGCGCCGGGCTCCCCGCGCTGACGACGGGCCCGGCCGCCGCCCTGAAGCGCCGCGAGAACACGACGCCGCTGCGCTCGGGCGTGCTGGCCGTCAAGAAGGGCATGACGAGCATCTTCCAGGGCAAGACGCGCGTGGTGTGCACGGTGCTGCAGATGGATCAGGTGCAGGTGGTTGCGAACAAGACGCGCGAGAAGCACGGCTACTGGGCGGTGCAGATTGGCCTCGGGGCCAGGCAGGGGCGCAACGTGACGAGCCCGATGCTGGGATACTACGAGGCAAAGGGCATTGCGCCCAAGGCCGAGCTGGCCGAGTTCAAGGTCCGCGATCAGGAGGGGCTGCTTCCCGTGGGCGCCCAGCTGCTGCCGGACTGGTTCCAGCTGGGGCAGCATGTCGATGTGCGGGCCCGGTCACGAGGAATGGGCTTCGCCGGAGGTATGAAGCGTCACGGATTCGCCGGCCAGGAAGCCTCGCACGGTAACTCCAAGAACCACCGAACGATTGGCTCAACGGGTCCCTCGCAGGGTGGTGGTAGCCGAGTCATCCCCGGCAAGAAGATGCCCGGCCGCATGGGCAACGAGTTCCGGACGGTGCAGAACCTGAAAGTGCTCAAGGTGGACAACGAGCTGGGCGTGGTGCTGGTCAGCGGGCCGATCCCCGGGCCAAAGGGCCGCATTGTGCGGCTGCAGGATTCGAAGAAGAGAAAGGCCCCTGCGCTGCCGTACAGAGTAAAGGCGTTGGAGCAGCTGGATGAGAGACAGCCTGGCTTGCAGGAGAAGCTGGAGCAGGCGAGGCTGAGGCACTTGGAGATGCAGGCTCAGCGCCAGGCACATGTTGCGGAGGTGTAACAGAGGGTTTTTATGACGAAAGTTATATACAGTGTAAAAATACCAAAGACAGGGCCGTTGGATGGAGACGGTGACAAGGGGCTCTATGCTAATGAATACATACATGGAAGAGACCAGAGTGGGAAAAGGGTGAGGAAGTAAAAAGAAAAGCGGGCTTTTTTTGTATTTATAGGAGTACATCATACATATCATGACAACCTCGCCCAAAGGCTCAACCAAACCAAATATACTTGTACACAAGAGAGCATGGTCTCTTCTCTCTTCTCTCTTTCTCTTTTGAGATTTTTATTCCTTTCTCCATCTGTCCATCAACCAATTCCTTTCATCCCCCCCCTCATCCGTGTTGTTTCCGCCCACAAGAGTCTCTCCAAACAGAGCTTCATTCTCTCACCGGTTGAGCGCCCCCTGCTGTCTAAACCCCTTGGTCTGCAACTCCGCCACATCCTCCTCCGACAACAGCCCCAAGTCACCCTCACTCTCGCCCCCGAGCAGCCCCCTAAACGGATCCTCGCCATCCAGCAAGTCCACCACCGTGCCGTCCTCCAGCGTCAGGCTCCACGCCGTCGTCTTGAACAGCGACTTGCTCGAGGGCCGGTGGCTCGCGAAGCGCATCACGCCCGAGGCCTTTGAGCCCTTGACGCTGAAGCTGACGTCGATGCGGCCCTTGACCTGGTTCATCTGGCCGCTGATCCAGGGGATCTGGTGCTTGAAGTAGATTTCGTCGCCGAGCAGGGCGTTGCCCTTGGGGGACGTGCGCAGCGCGTACAGCGTCGAGGCGATGATGGGCGACGACGTCTTTTGGTAGTTGAAGATTGCGACGGAGCTGACGGCCACGAGGAGGACGAAGATGGGAAAGGTGCGGCGCCAGCCGTTGGAGACTTCGCCGACGTCTGGATTGCAGTTGGGTCAGTATACGACGTGCCGGCTTTTTCCTCTCTTCTTCTTGTTCTTTTTTATTTCTTCAAATTGAAATCACCACCAGGTCCACTCACCAGGCAATTCACGATCGGCTCGTCTCGACATCAGCGGCCCATCGCCGGGCTTTGGCGCAGGCGTCGTCGTCGTCGTCACTGTCCGCCTCTGCGCTGCCGCACGCGAATTGGCGCTGCATCTGCTGCCGACCCGTCGAGAAGCCACGGCCAGCAACCTCCTCCTCGCAATTTGTGATATCATTGTGTGTGTTTTTTGTGTGTGAGAGAAGAAACAAAGCTCTCAGGTTATTAGTGAGAGGTTTGGAGGGTCAGATCAGATCATGTCTCGCACCAGGCTGAAGGAATTTTAGTGGGGGGCGGGACAGCATGGGTACGTACCTATTTGTGGCGTCATAAGGCTGAGGGAAGATCTTTTGACAAATGCCATCAAGGTGCCGCTGACTTGTAGCGAATCATGGTAAATCTCTTGGTGATCAGTTGAGAGATTGATAACTTCTTTATGCGTACAACGACTTGACAGGCCAAATACTACGTCGACTACCACAACAGTATACATACCTCGTGTTCTTGCTTCTTAGAGCACGGCTTCAGCTCCATCTCGGTTCGTCAAGACTATGACAATGCCTTGTGATACGCCACAATGAAAACTCGCATGTTTTCATCCAAAATTGCCGTGTTGATAGATTTTAAGCGTGCAGCATGCCTCCAGCGTTGTAGAGTAATGATGGAGTGCAATACCAAGCCGTCGTTATAAGGCTTGGGAAAAGACTACATTCCTACCACTCAGCTCATCCAGATCAGATGAATCTTGATTCACCTAGATAGCCATTTAAGCAAACTCTCCAGATTGATAGCTTCAAATAGCGCAGATTACAGGTCAGGAATCAACAAGCAGCAAAGTCATTTTCAGTCAGTCTGGCCAAAAGCAAGAGCCGCAATTGCCACCATCAAATCGCAACACAAATACATGGCCGGCACTCTATAATCAATGTCCAAGCGCAATCTCAGCAACTCCAGCCAATGAATCGACCGTATAGTCAGGCTTCAAGCCCTCACAAGCATTTCGGTCTCCGTATCCGTAGCGGCACCAAACAGACTGTGCTCCGATATTCGCCGCGAACTGGATATCCGCAACAGTGTCGCCAACAACTAGTACGTCACGGCCGTCTTCAATGCCCTGAAGCTCTTTAACCCCATGCTTTGCATCTCTCAATTTCGGCAGTAAAACATTGGTGAAGCTGGCTGTGTCTGGCTTCCGCGTCGCTCCAGGCGTCTTGTCTCCAACAATCAGCTCCTCGTCCACTGCGCCGCCAAGCCCACTGCCGTTCAAAGCGGTGACAACAGCAGCCACGCCCTTGTTGCTGACGATTGAAATGATGACTCCCGAATCCAGAAGCTGCTGAAGAAGCTCAACGGCAGATGGGAAGGGCTTGATCAGAGGCTGGCCGTGCTGGGCGTACAACTCGCGATATGTGGCAATCCAGCCTTCTTCGAGTTCCGCCGTCCATTGAGCCTTTTCCGCGGCCGCATCCTTTACAGGCTGGAGAGTGCGGAACGTGTCTTGTAGGCCCGCGCCGGAAGAGATGAGACGGTGGATTTCAGCCTCTGAGGGGGTGTCTTGCGGCGATGTGAGGAGGGTGTCGAATGTGAGCTTGATGCAGTGCGAGATGGAGGCGTGAGTGTCAAAGAGGGTGCCGTCAAAGTCGAAGATGACGAGCTTTTTCTTTGTAGGTGCCATTTCTGCTTCAATCCTCTTCTTTTTCCTTCTCCTCCTTCTACTTCTTTTTTTTTTCCCCTTGTTTTCTCGGAGTTGAAGGAAAAGGAAGAGATTTGCTAGTTTGAAGGATCTAGCCGATGCACTAGGTGTTAACTCCCCCGCGATATCCGCCCTTTTAATATATTTACAGGCATAAGGACTTGACAAAAGTTCCAACTACGGCATGCTTAGGTATCCAATGGATATTCAATTTGAGTTTTTCAATTAAAAGGTGTGGCCTTGTTGCTTTTATTTGCTTGGACATGGAAACTTGCCAAAGTGCTCGAAACTGCACTAGCAAGACATTCACATGTAAATCATACCCAACTTACAACGACTCCCCTTCTTTCAAGCACGGCTTTACCTTTTCCAAAGCATGAAATCAAATCATCCTATAGACAGAGATACACTCAGAACAGATATTTTTATCGTAGTCAGTTTTTTATCATGTATTACCTGTTCCAATTTGCAGAGATGCATTAAGATACCCACATGTAAGTCAGATTACGTAATCATGCTAGCCGGTGTGAATTAAAGCAAGGGTCCTTCAGCTTGCGTCATAAGGCTGAGGGAGCTCTTCTTCCTCAACGCCCATCAAGGTGCCGCTGCTATTGCCATCTCCAACGGTGCAATCACCAGCATCCCTTTACCGAGACAAAGAAAAAAGAAAACGCCCTCCTTTTGCTAAATGTTCACTTTCTACAACCTCCATTTTCTCCTTCTTACATTCATCATGGCATCCTCCGCCCGTCTAAGACGGACGTTTCAATACCCCAACGACTCCGACTCAGACTCTCCCGAAGCCATGGACGAGCAAGGTACAACCAATCTAACCTATTCTACCATCCCCCCCAGGCTGATCAAGTGAAATATACAGAACAAGACAGCCTCATCCAAACCCTCGCCTCCCAAAACGCCTCCCAAAACGAAACCCTCGCCCGCACCCTCCTCGCCCTGCCGCTCCTCTCCCTCATCGCCTACATCCGCCCGCTGCTCAACCCCGCCACCACTTCCTTTGCCATCTTCTGCACAACATCCCTCCTCGCGACGGCCTTTCTGCTCTACCGCCTGCCGCCCGCGCAGACGGGCATTCTCATAATCGACGCCTGGGCCAGCGGTAATGGTAGTGCTAGAGGAAGAGGCAGATCGTCTGCTGCGAGCAGTCTTAGCAGTGGATTGCGGTCGTCGCGTAATTCACTCGGTGGTCTTCTTGGTCGTGGGGTCATGGAGACGCGGTCCCCGTTGGAAAAGACCTTGCCCTATTTGAACTTGGGTCTCGTCACTTTATTAATACTCATGGGATTGGTGAGAGGCGATGAGAGGGGCGGTGGCTTTGGCTGGGTCAGCATGGGCAATATTCCTGGCCTCGTCTATTCCGTTGTCCTGACGGCCAAGATTGTCATGGCCGGCGTGGACCCCGAGAGAGATCTAGGGAGCCTCAGGTACGGGTATAAAGGTGCTTGATAAGACCTGTTATCTAGTGCCTATTCATACATGTAAACTCTCAAATAATAGATAATTCACCAAAAAACCACATCATAACGCCTTGGGAAGGACAGTTGCATCTTATTTCTCTCATTCTCCATTTTATAATGTCGGCTTCATGCCCGACTCAAGCACCCAGTTTAACAGTTTACCGCACCCAGATTCGCGCCCTATCCCAGTATAAAATAAAAACCCTCGCATCGTCTACATGTCTATAGAATCATTAAAGCGTAAAATACCATGGTCTCTCAAGATTCCGTCAATGCCCTGGGGGGGCCGAGGGAAAGGATCCGCAAGAGGGTTTACTTCAGGGGTATCAGACGACTTGTCCATCACAAGGGCAAGTCCATGCGACTTGACGGCATCAACCAGCGCCGGCACCATATCCTATTCAAAAGTTAGTTTCATGCTTGACGATGATTTTTATAAAAAAGGGCTCAAGGAGTTTTCTTACCAGCAACCGAGAATAGCATATCAAACCCATAAAGTTATTCGTCTGCGCAATCCGCACCGCCTCCTTGATCGACGTCGTCCGTCTTCCGCTAGCTTGCACTGCCTTGTCGTCTCGGCCCAAGTCGTTGCACAAAAATACCGGGAAATTAGGCTGCTTCCAATTGAGAGCAGTGCAGAGTCGCGCGTTGTAGCTGCTGAATACCATGGAACGCACCACATGCGACGAATGTGACTGGGCCCTCTGAGCTCGAGCGTGGTCAAAGACAATTGTGAGAATCGAGTCGACAAATACATTAACGTTCAGAGCCGGTCCCAAGGCCAGTGTCTCCTCCTCCTCCGAGTTGGGATAAACAATCTGCAGATTGACATGGATACCAGGGGGGAGAATAGCCAGTGCGTCCTTCAGAGTGATGCCTGCAGTCGCCAGGATATGGAAAATTTCGGCGATATCCTCTGTCGTCTTTGTTGTCAGAGTCGCAAGCTTGGCGCGGCTAGTACTCTGAGCCGTGATGGCGTCAAATTGCGCAAATGAAAGCCGGCAGACGGGGATGTCGAGTCCACCACAGGAGATGGTCCATTGTGGCCAGATGATGGGCACCGCATCGCTGGTGTACTGAACAAATACTCGGACGTAATCACCAGACAGACTTGAGCCAGTAACAACGGCGTTTGTTGGCTGGTTGAACTGGCTTGTTGCCTTCCAATAGGTTTCAAAGTCTGTAATTTCAAGCGGCTGCCCTCTGAATGGCTTAATCACCTGCGTAGTGAAGCTAATTTGGCCGATAGCCCGTAATCGCGGGTCAAACAGTGGCAGGCAAGATTTTGAGCCGCCAGACTGGTTTAGAAATACAGACGGTAGCACAACCGTCTTTGCAATCGTCTTGGCGCCGTAAGCCGGGAAAACATCAAAATCGAGTGAAAAGGTCTCCAAGTTGTCGACTTGGAAGGAAACAACACGGGTATCTTCTTGAAATGGCAAAATAATGTTCTTTGGGATAAGATCTGAGACTTTGGAAGATATCGTTAACCGAGCAGCCGGGTACTTGCCGTCCTGGAAAAAGACCAGCGGTTGCTCGCCCGCATCCTGGAAGCCGATTTGCACGACCGTCTTCGTATCAAGGAAGTTGTGGCCATATCGTCGAAGAGGAATTATTGGTGGCGGTAGCTCCAGGATCGGGATGGCATCTGGGTCCAATGACATGGGCAGGGGCCCACTACTGCTGCCCATGATATCAATCGTAGGATGGCCACCGAGCGGACTCGCTCTGGGGCGCTTGTTAAACGGCGTAAGTAGTTGCATACATTCCAAATGGCCTTCCCAAGCAGCATAATACATGGCGGGAAGATCCTTTTCGTCTCGTATTGTCGCATCGACACCAAGTTTAAGCAGTGCTTGGAGGCATTCGACGTTGCCTTCGCTCGCGGCATGCAGTAGTGGTGTCCATCCATACAGCTTGTCGATTTGGTCGAGATCAGCTCCATATTGTTTAAGAAGTAGAAGTAAATCTGACGTCCGTCCACATCGCGCCACCATGTGCTGAGGATACAGTCCCTCGGCATCAGGAAGGATCTGCGCGCCATGCTTCAACAGGATTTCCACAATGGCAACTGAGCCGTGCTCGCAAGCAAGGTTCAAGGGCACATGATCCGCATCAGAAACCGGGTCAATACGAGCGGACCTGGCGAGCAGACGCTCAACACATTCGACATGTCCATGTATGATGGCGTGTATTAGCGGTGTGAAGTTGTCGTGGTCAATGAGATCAATGGTGCTCGGATTGGCTTTTTTCAAAGAGAGGAAAGATGATGTTAGCTCAAGGTATCCTGCCGGTGAATACGGCTTGGCGGCTCCAACTTACCATTCAACAAGACTTCGAGCATATCCAGGCGGCCGTGTAAGCTAGCATAGTGCAGCGGAACACGGCCGTAAACATCAGTCCGATCCACAGCAACCTTGGCCGCAAGACCCCATTCCAGTACGTGATGTCTACCGTAGATGGCGGCCTGGTGTAGGCAGTTTCTTTCGTTGATATCATCGTATGAATGCAAGTCGACCAAGCCGGTGTCCAGAAGAACTTGTAGAGCGCTCTTAGGAGCTTCGTTGATCGCCGTCAAAAACGTCCTTGTCAGCCGCTCCATCAAAGAAACGTCACCGTCGCTTGCTTGAGTAGCAGATTGCATTTTAGCAAGAAGATCCTTGATCGATTCGAGGTTTCCGGTAATGACAGTATCCAACAGGAGCGAATCGGCATCTCCTTCGTCAGTCCCCACGAAATGCTGGGTCGTAACAACATGTGTGGTAGATGAGTCGAAGCTGACTTGGATTCCATCCGACCAAGCCCCAAGCTCCTGGAGGCTGGTAGTTGCCTGGTCGGACAGCTCACTTATAACCGTCGCATTGAAAAAAGGCTGGACCTCAACAGCACGCGAGAGGTACAGCTCCTTTGTCTTTGATTTCGAGGTCTTGTCCCATTTCTTGAGAATCTTTGAAAAAGCAGTGCCATTGATTTCAACAAATTGTTGGAGCTTGTTCAGATCCGTAGCGAACTGTTGGAAACCTTCTTCGAGGGTGGTGAATTTGGACGAGCGTCTCGAGATGCCTTGGCGCGACTTGATGACTTTTTTCTTGTCGAGCAAGGTCTTGAGTCGAATTTTGAGCTATGTGACGGTTGGCGACGACATAATTCAAAACATGGGGTTGGGACAAGAAATTTGATTTTGCCTACATACCTCGGCTTCTTTTTGCAGATAGAAAGCGTTCACCTTGTCCAACTCTCGTTCCTGCTCGGGTGTCAGCAAGTCCACCGGAATGTTCATCTTGATGGCTGCATGCAGTGACCTACCAATTGGAAGAAGAAAGTTGCCTTGTTTGCTTGCAGAGCAGCCTGCGAGTCAGCCAGTGTGTCGAGGCGGTGGGCGTCATTTTGCGCAGCAAGGGTCGGAGTAGCTGAAAGCTTCTTGATGAGCTATGAGGCAGTGAGAATGTAGCATTAGTAAAAAGTGAGACAAGAATACAGCAATTGGTGGTGTACATGTCCGCAAGGTATGCCCTTGATTGGAGAGAGAGCCAGAGGGTGCAGACATGCATGGACAAGGATGGCTGGAGGAGCTGGCACTCCCCCTCTATCAGCCTCCCATATGTCCCGAGCGTCTTCAGACAGAAGAGAAGACACAACATGAGAGCATATCATTGAAATAGAAAGGGGAAAGGCGCGGGAGAGCGAAGGGGTTAGTGAATAGATATTTACCTTCTTCAAAGCCTTGTAGTTAACAAAACTGGCAGCATATTCGGGAACCTCAAGCTGGCGCTTCTGAATCTGCTTGCCAAATTTCCTGCGGAACAAATCGCTATGTGAGCCTGGGGTATTATTCCCGAGGGGGGCAGGGATTGCGTCACGACGCAGCGGCCATCTGACTTACATGTTGCGACACAGAACCCCCGGGCGGGCGGGAGTCGCGGGGGGAGAGGAGTTGGGGAAACAGAAAGGCCCAAGCCGGACAGGTCAAGCGAGGATATACAGTCTCACGCCTGTAATAAGCCTTCCTTTTGGGAGGAGAGCCAAGAGTTGGTTGGTAAGACGTTATTGTGGGCGATGGCGCCTGTAAGAACGAGCAACCTGCCATGAAACTTAGCTGTCTGTGCGCCCTTGAGCAGGCCTATATCGACGGAAAAGGACGGAGGTGACCGAGGGACAGGGCAAGGGGGTTAGTTCAGCGCAGAGTCTCCAGACACTTGTCCGCGTGGGGGGAACGATTGACTGATGGCCGTCGGCAGCTCGCTGACAGGACAGCCCAACGGGTCCCATCAGACAGCAAGCAAGCAGCAGGCTCCGGCGCGGCTCGTCTCGTACCTTGAGAGGCCAGCCCTTGTCCCACTGAGGTTGCAGGCGGAGGTTGGTGCTCTGCTTCCGGGATAGTTTGAGATGCAGGCTGGGGCCGAGAAGAGTAAGAAAGCCGGCGTGAAGCAGGCCGAAGATGCGGGAAGAGGTGGACAAGAGCAAGTTTGCGACGATGCGTGCTGTACACTATGTACGCGCAGCCCTGGAGAGATGGGCTTTGGTGATGTGGTGCTAATTGTAGACGCAGGAAAAAGGCGGTTTGCTGGGGAGAGGAGCGCTTCTTACGTACACGAAGCAGAGCTTCACTCCTTTGATTCTCTCACCCCGGACAGAGATTTCCAATCACGAGGGCGTGGCAGCAAGAGAGTTTAGTAGTCAGCCTACCGGATGAGGGCACCCTGGGCGCAGAATGGGCTGGTGATTCGGATTGATCAGATCAGACCAGCAGGGCCGAGGTGACGAGGCTGTGTGGCGGGCTGGCTATGGACCTTTTTGGGCTGACTGTCTTGTCTGGCTGTCTGACTTTCTGGCTGTCTGACTTTCTGTCTGTCTCTCTGGCTGGGCGTCTGGGTGTATCTGGCCGTCCTTGTTAGTCAGAATGTCCTGCCCCGACCCAATTGGAGAGGAGGAGGAGAGAAGCAGGTTGATGGCTTCGGTGAAGGGCAGAGTATGTCGACGACTGACTTGGCTAGCTGTGTCTTAGTCTCGAGGGCACGTTGTGCCTCGCCCCGGTGAAAATGCCACTTCTCTAGAGTACGGGCGACCTTGTTCGAAGCGGGGGCGACTCATCAGAGCCCTCGACTGTCTAGATCATCGCGAGACTAGGCGAATAAAGCCCGTGGCGGTTGTACCTCAGACACCTTTAGCACGCCGAAGTAGGTCGTCCTGCAGAATCGACCAGGGTTGCGCATGCGGCGCTGAGACTTCGTGCGGGCCGTGGTACCGACTTGGCTGTCGGCAGATGCGGCCGATGTTTAGCCCTTTAACACGCTCTCACCCATTTCAGTATTGAAATCAGATAGTGCCCTGGTGCCGCCGCCCCTCGCATCCCAAAGCATTCCCTCTGGGGCCCGTTCATTGGGCTGCGTTTGTAGGGGTGTTTTGCCGGATCTGCTGCTACCATCGTCCCCGTTCTTTATACCGGACCCAATCGCCGTGCAGCATTGCACCTCGTGCGTGAGCGATAGGTGCAGTTGATTTAAGCGCAAATTCAAGAGCCCACGGCCCCAGCTCACTAGACGTCTGCTTTGATGTACCTGTGCCGCTCGACCTCCAAGTCATCGTACATGTACACGCATGGCACGAGTTGGGGGGCACAAGTACTTTGCGCAACCCAAAACTCTGGGCAGCAACTACCTACATACTGCTAGTCATGCCATCCTGCGCTACGTTGCTCATTAACCCGGATTTACCCATCAATCCAGCGTCACGAGAACCCACGCGGAAACATGCCCGACCCATCGGCGCGTCCTGCTAGCCGGTCAAAGAAGCAGCAGTTTCAGCTCGCTAATCGTACTCGAGACGTCCCGGCCCTGTATTCTAACTTTGATAAACCTTACCTTGCTACCTAGGTAGGCAGGTATCCAATGGGTAGCATCATCCACTAATCTAAACAATGGCACCCAAAATCGCAATGAACCCTTCAAAGTATTGTTATGGAATTACGGTTTCTTATATGTCAGCTACCATTTGAGAGCCGCCTCGATCAACAGCACAAATCAACGATTTTTAAAAACACAAACAGCCTCGCCATTGATTGCTTCCAGGGGCAATTTAATCCCGTCCCGTCCCATCTAGATCAAGCAATCAGCTCTTCTTCGCGCTTGAGTCTCCTTCTTTCGCTGGATCGACCAGGCTATCCGCCATCGCCTCGGCAGCAGCCTTTTTCAACCGCTCGGCATCGTCCAACTTGCCATCTTTCGGCTTCTCCTTTGTCTCTCCCTCGTCTTCGCTGTCTCCCAAGCTGAAAGGATCGTTATCGGTGATCGGATCTGGCTCCACGCTGGAGAGCGGTTGCCATTTGCTTGCCTTGGCCCCTGTCGCTGCCGGGGTCTCACCCTTGGGAGACAGTTTTGGCGAAGCATCATACATCTTAATCTCTTCAGGTTCGTCCTTGAATCCCACTCTTCGGCCGTCTGCTCGAGGTGAATGTGAAGGAGGTGGTCTATAAACGCCGGTATTCGCCATTGGTCGGATGTTGTGAGCAGGGGCTAGAAAGAGATTGTCAGCTACGCTTTAGCTACATACGATCATGGTACCGAGTACTTACTACCGTCCGATGAGAACTTCATGCCAGCGAAATCATCGCTGAGCACCTGCGGATCTGCGTCATAGTCCGTGCTCCTGTTGCTAGGCCCACCATGGCGGTACTGAGGTCCATCACTGCGGCCAGCATCCTCACTCTCGTCAAAATTCTCCTCAATCTTCTTCTTCATCATGCTAATCCAGCCGTTGACCTTGGACTGGGTCTCCACGAATCCTTGTCGGAGGTTCTCGCGGATGATGGGGAGATCGTCATCTAAAAAGCTGTGCTCTCGCTCGTCTTCATCGAAGCCAGGCTGCGATCTTGTGCGCCCGTTACCGCCACGGTTGGAAGTGCGAGCTTCGTAGGCACCGACATTATCGTAGTGCTCTGCCAACTGGCGCGCATATAGCTCATCTGCTTCAATCTGGGATCGCGAAGGCCTTGGCGGCTGCTGGGGCGGAACTTCTTGCGGCTCGTTCTGAACGGCGTCTGGGTCGGTCATTTCTAGTTTCATCGTAAGCATGCGTTCCCGTACGAGTGTCAGTCTTTGCGCGCAACGCACCTAGCAGAGCGTTGAAGGCGGGCTCGACCTGGCCTCCGCTTGCTCTCAAGATGGCTTTAATGACATTGTCATCCACTGTTGGGAACGCCTCCTTCAGAGTGATTTGGTTCTTCTGCGCCTCGGTCATGGGGCGCGGAGGCTTTGGTGGAGGGGCCGGGCCCTCTGAGCTTTGCCTTGATCCAAGCATTGGTGATACGGTGCCGTCTCCTGTTATTCCGGATTCCTGCACCTCATCATCTGACATGTCAAGAGGTTGCGCTGTGGTTGGCGATTCAGCGCCTGAATCTGTCACTTTGCTCTGCGCAGTCGAACCGCAAGCATCAGCATCAGCGCAAGCTCTCTCGCCACTAACAAGCAGCTCGTCTGGGGAGGTGGATCATATATACCGTATCTGCAGGAGCCGACATCGTCGCAGTCTTTTGTGGTTACCCTTGGCGCGCGCCGAGTGTTGCTAAGGCGATCGGTTCTCGTGATTTCGCTTATAGCTGAGTTGTTCTGGAAAATGATCTCGCTTCAGTCTCGGGCTCTCCGTTGCGATTATGACGGAGGGGTTGAAGGCTAGCCACGACGCCTGCCACGACGCTGATGACGTCCCCACAGTAATAAAGGAGCTCGGGTGGCAGTGATGAGCCGGTATAGCCACAGCGCCACACTGTGGCTGGGGATATTGCTAAGGCTCTAGGGTAAGTATGTTGCCTACCTGCAAGTTTCAGTCAAGGAAGAAATTGAAGCAATAAATCTTGGGACTGGGCTATGAAAGAGCTAGAGATGAATTAATTCAAAGCTGCAGACGCATGTCTTTAAGTAATTCAGCTCTTCAAGCAGTCCAACTAGCATAGCATTGTGATGCTATAGCTGAAACGGGCTTCAGACAGACGCCAATCACCAGCTAGCTATACCTATTTAGCAGCAATTTTACCAAATGAGACTCAACATACACATTTCACAATGACGGACCTCGATCTCGACTCGTCATTCATCCCCGCATTGCACAAGCCACCATCCTTGCTTCCCATAGCAAAATACCGCGAGAGCTTGCTCTATGTCGTTGAGACATTCCCGGTGATCATCGTCATAGGCCAGACCGGCTCTGGCAAAAGCACACAGATTCCCCAGTTCCTTGAACGCGCTGGATGGTGCTCAGATGGAAAGGTCATTGGAATAACGCAGGTGAGCGCTCAGCTTCTCTGGAGTTACCTTATCAGAGTGCTTCTTACTGATATTTTCACGTAAGCCACGCCGAGTGGCCGCCACAACGGTTGCTCTACGGGTAGCTGAGGAGGTGGGATGTGAAGTCGGCCAAGAGGTTGGATACTCGATCCGCTTTGAAGATGTCACCTCGTCCTCCACCCGGATAAAGTTTCTGACCGATGCTCTACTTATCCGGGAAGCACTGACAGATCCTCTGCTGAGCCGATATTCCGTCATCATGGTAGACGAGGCTCACGAGCGATCCATCAGCACCGATATCTTGCTTGGCCTGCTGAAGAAGATTCGAAGAAAGCGCCCCGAGCTCCGTATTATCATCAGCAGCGCAACGCTTCAGGCTGAAGAATGTCTTAAATTCTTCACAGCGGGCTCGGAACAAGAAGTGAAGAAGCAAGAAGATGGACAGACGCCACAGGAGATTGCTACCATTGTTAGCCTCGAGGGACGGACATATCCCATCGATACGCTATATCTCGAGGCTCCAGCAGAAGACTATGTTGAAAAAGCCGTCAATACCGTCTTTGACATTCACACGCAAGAGGGCGAGGGAGATATCTTGGTCTTTCTGACAGGCCGCGAAGAGATTGACAATGCTATTCAAGCTGTAGCCGAGAGAGCCACGCAGCTGGATAGTCAGCATGGTCCATTACAGCCATTGCCGCTATATGCCGGACTCTCGACAGAGCAGCAAATGTTTGTGTTCGATAAGACGCCTGAAGGAACACGGAAGGTGGTCTTTTCAACAAACATCGCCGAAGCTTCAGTCACGATTGACGGCATAGTCCATGTCATTGACTGCGGCTTCGTCAAGTTGCGGGCTTATAATCCCAAGACAGGTATAGAGACATTGACAACCACACCCATCTCTAAAGCATCTGCTTCTCAACGCGCTGGTCGTGCTGGCCGTACCAAAGCTGGAAAATGCTATCGGCTCTATACTGAAGACGTCTACCAAGCATTACCGGAAACGAACCCTCCAGAGATACAAAGGTCGAACCTCGCATCAACCATTCTTCAGTTGAAAGCTCTGGGTATCGATAACGTGGTTAGGTTTGATTTCCTCTCCGCACCACCGTCAGAACTCATGTCGAAGGCGCTCGAATTACTATACTCGTTGGGAGCTTTGGATGAGTATGCAAAGCTAACACATCCGCTTGGATCTCGCATGGCAGAACTGGCAGTCGAACCGATGATGGCAAAGACGTTGCTATCAGCACCGCAGTTCAACTGTCTAAGCGAAATGCTGACCATTGCTGCCATGACAAGCCTGGGAGGAAACATATGGTTCTACCACGACGGCGAGCGACACAAGATGGAGGCTTCACGGCGTAAGTTTGCTGTAGAAGAAGGCGATCATCTGACATTGCTCAACGTCTATCAAACCTTTATCACAAAGGGAAAGAAGGAGGCCAAGTTTTGCCATGAACACAACCTCAATTACAAGTCCTTGACTCGGGCAGTCAGTATCCGAGCTCAACTCAAGCGCTATCTTGAGCGCTTCAACATCAACGTTGACGAGGCACTATCATCCAAACGAGACTCTTCGAATGTGGATAACAGCAGCAAGGCAGAGCAAATCAGACGTTGCCTCACCTCTGGCTACTTTGCACATACAGCACGCATGCAGCCGGATGGGACTTATCGAAACGTCGAGGGCGGCACCATCCTACATGCACATCCCAATTCGCTCATGTTCAATCGCAAAGCTGACTGGGTCATTTTCTATGAAATCATGGAAACGGGAGATAAGACATATATCCGCGACATTACAAAAATTGAGAAGAACTGGCTGGTTGAATATGCTTCCGAGTTTTATAAGCTTTCGAATTCTCGAGGCTAGTTGTTCAGTTACGGTGCGTCGACAACCACTATTCAGGCTATTGACAACTGGCGATACCGAAAACACATGGAGATCAAAGACTCGCGATGCAAATATCTTGACTAGCCCCAGCTCTCTGCCGTAGTTGCCGTCCCTAGCATCTATGCACAGCTCCATGGATCGTTCTGAATGGCCCCTTTGCATCTGCCACAGCGAGATACACTCTTTGCTGTTAGGTCTTAGTACCTTGAAGAGCACTATATTATGTAAGGTATGGAGCACTTGTATGGTGTACAAGTACGTCGAGGGTGAATGGAAATAGCCGAAAGTGAATAGAACCCACGTCTTTTGAAGCCTTGCTCCACGCCATCCAACATGTCTGTGCTGCTCTATGTTCTAAAGTTGGCTTATACGCTCCTTGAAAAAGATTGCTGATCCGGGGCCGCCCGCGATCAATTTTCCATGTTGCTCTCGCCAATGACAGTGATACAAATACTGCAGCGGTAAAATCTCGTTTGTTTGTTTTTCTGATGACCATGACCAGGTGCTCTTCTGCCCCCTTGCGTGATAAGAGGGCATGAGCTAGGATCCTGGCCCCCTCATGATGCGGCACTTGTACCGCCACTACTGACTAGTAGGAGTACTTGCACATAATAATGCGCAAACGGATTGAGCTCACGGGACCAAAAATGCCTCGACTATTGGGTTCTCAAGCGCCAATAGACTGAAACACCACTCAACGCCGCCAATAGTGATATTTAACCAAAGTTTCTCTACGTTGGTAAGACAAAACTCGGTTGCTAGAGGAACTTTCCACGCAATCTTCACCAAGCTGAAGCTTGTCTTGGTCTCACCCATGGCAAAGGGTGGCAAAGACTCGGATATGAGATTTTTCTTCAATCCCCATGTCTTGCCAAGGGTCTTGAAAAAAGCCGGCAGACGGCACAAGCTTTTTTTTCTGTTCCGCAAAACATGCGCATGTCAAGGCCCGTTTCTCCTGTTTCGTCTGAATTATTCTGGCGATTCACCGACCTGTGGCATCAATGCGGCAAGGGAGAGAGACATGGAGATGGAACACGCAGCATGGCTAGGGGCACTCACTGTCCTGGGCCCCGGCTTAGCATCCGAGCGTGGTGCCTGCTATTGATAACCAAAGCCTGTATCCTGTATCGCAACACATGCATATACACTAATACTTGCTTTGTTGCTGCTGGGACTCGGCGTTGGAACTCGGCGTCGAAACTCCGTGCTCTTATTTTTCAATTCCTGCTAGTGCCATTAATTGGACTCCGCAGCCATCATCCTGAGCGTCTCACCGGCAGGGCAGTGCTCCGGACCACGGTGGCCAGGGGGATAATTCATGTCGGAAAAGCGGCAGCCTCTTTTTCAAATCAGCCGGCAGCGGCCCGGATCTTCACAGCGCTGTACTTGTAGTATGTAGTGCAAGTAGCACCCTGTGGAGGAGTTGTAGTATGGATTATGAGCGAATCGGCAATTTCGATAGTGTGTGCGAAAAATACGCTCTGTATCTATAATAAGATCGGCTGATTGCATGTCCATAGAACGATGAGATTGCACTCGACCAAGGGGGCTGCGGTGCAAGTGTTTGCGGTGGATGCCTTTTGAGGCGAGGATGGAGACTGCCGATGGAGCTCTTGCGAAGCTCCGCAGCTGCGCGAGACTGTGTGCATTGCGGTGGATATGCGTTTAATGAAGCTGCACGTATCCTGACGGCTCCCATTGGATGGACACCTCGGTGGTTGTAAGACGCTTGTGCTCAAAGAGGCACCTGGCCTGCGAATGCCATCTAGGTAGACAATCAACGCGAACTCGCTTCTCGAATGCGCCATTTCCTCCACCAGCAAGCAATTCAATTCAGACCCAAGTTTGTGCGCGCATTTCCCGCCCGAATCCCATTCTTTCATGAATCCAGACAGCACAGACGAAGCACGGACGTGTGGCGACAAACTTGCGATGTTAATGTGGCCGAGGCGTTGCTTGCAGCTCTCAGTGTTGCTTCATGGAAGTGTTTTGTGCGTTTTCCATTGCCAGCCACACAGGCACCAACAGCATGTACAAGTACAGCGCATATTGCGTTGTATCAGGTGCTTGCGGGAATATATTACCATGTATATTAGTAGTTGCCTTGCCCATGCAGTTGTTGGACAACGAACAATACCAACAGTAAGCTGGAGTGGTACAGTACTTGCAGCTCTACTTGACACACCGGTGCCGCCAAGTCTCTTCAACTAAGCGGAAGCCCAGTAGGTATTACGGAGGAGCCCGAAACTCCATCAGCTCTGTGTTGGCAGTTTCCCCTCAACGGCGCATGTGTGGATACAAGGCTAGCCAAGATTGTTCTTTTTTTCTTTTTGAAGTTCTACCTGTAGTGCCAACAATGATAAAGGAGTTGGGCAACGCCGACGCTGTTAAGTAGCGAGATCACAGGTGCTGAGTAAAACGCATGAGTTCAATTTGCAGTTGGAACGACTCCTATACGCGCGCCAGCGGGACGGCTAAGGCGTTCCTGGGCTAGCGTCAGGGGCAGCGCTATTGGCAGGTTGCAAAACACAGTGCCAGATGCAGGGATCTGCTGCCTCAGGCTGGCCCTGAGACCGTGCAGAGCAGCTGCTGTAGACAAAGTTTCATACTGTGGGGGGTGCTCCCGTGGGCCTCTGTACCTGCGTCAGGCCCCTGCTAGGCCCCAGCTCGCCAGCCCTTTGTTTTCCACTTTCGACCTGCTGAATCACCAGCTAGACGACGCCGCCTCGACTGGCGCTCGCATCTGGCGCTCGCTCTGGAGCTGCTGCCGCCACGCGCAAGAAACTGGCCGCTGTGGCACGGGGTTAGCGATGGAGGCGATCCCCGGTCGCTCATAGGCGGGCGATGGCACTGGGACCTGGCCGTTGTGCCTCTTGGGCGCGGCGGCCCGGCGCTAGCACTGCTCAAATTAAACTCCCTACGACCCTGGGAAGCTCGTCGGCGCCGGAGCTCACTGACCACAGCAGGACAGGCTCCAATCTCCAGTCCGCTTCGGTACTGGTACATGGACCTGCGCGCTCGACCCCTGGACCGCTGCTGGGCCTCTGCCCTGCGCTGTCTCATTCGCTGCGGCAAGGGGAGGGGAATTGCCCGCCCAAACCTGCTGGGCTCCCTGCAATCACTCTGCTCCTCACTGCGGCCCTGGGCAGGTACCGGTACGCTGGGCCATGTCCGCTACGGGCAGCTGCAGCCGCCTGCACAACACCCAATCTGCTGCACCGGCCACGCTGCCTTGTAGCGGTACCTGCGCGGGTGCTCGTCCATTTGCGCCGTCCCACCAGGCCTATTGTGCAGGGCCCATGGCCGTCCTAACCCGCTTCGTCTCCCTCTCCTCTCCTTGGGGCTTATCCGTCTCTCGCGCTCTTCCTCTTCTTTTCTCCTCTTCCCATCGCCAGTCTTTCCTTTCTGTCGACCACTGCGATTTATCGTGCGAAACCGCCTGCAAGCGGGCCTGTCACTCTTTTTTTGGTATTGCTTGTCAAGCTCTCAGTCATTCCTTTTTGCGAGCTGCTTCTGCGAATCAGCAGCAACAGTCCTTCATTGCTTCTGCCCGTCCGGTTGGCATTGCACATTCTCTCTTTTTACCCGCTTTTCCCTGGTTTCTTGGCTCTTCCTTGGACGAAACGTCGATCGATCAAGCTACCTACCTATTTGACCAACTTTCTCTCGTTCGCGGGCTTTGCCTCTGGAAAAGAAAAGCTACCACTCGGCGTAAAAACAAAACAACAAAAAAGACAAAATTCACATATTAATGGCGATCGGTACATCACTTCGACTATAATCAGCAAGCGTCATATATAATATCTTTTTTTTTTTTTTTTTCTTTCGACATATACTTCACCAGCAAGTAATTTTTAAATTTTATTTCGATTAGGGGGAACTAGAAAGATGAGCTTCATACGAGCTCGAGGAGTTAACCCGGCCACGGCTGGGTTCGTTGCGCGTGACGCACAAGTTTCTGGGATGGGATCGCGAATGAACCTGCGCCGAAGCCTCGAGTCCATTGGATCCCTGCTGCGTAGATCGAGCTCGAGCTCGACCTGTACCGCGACGGATGCCACCAACACTTGCGAGAAGCCAGTTGGACCATCGGACTCGACGCTCGCCATCGTCCTGGGAATCATGTAAGTGATTTTTGCTATCGTTTTCAAAGCCGAAGAAGTTGTCGGTCCCGGATGGTGAAGCTAATTGGTGCAGTATTCCGGTCGCTGTGGCCGTCGTTGTCTTGTTTTTCCTCCACCGCAGGAACATGCGCCGAGACAAGCTGGAAGAGCTCAACGATCCTACCAAGGACCTGGATTTTGGGTTGGGAAATGCTTCCTCCAAGAAGCGAAAGAGCATGTTTGGCGGAGTTGAAAAAGCCGCGCACAAGGGTGGACTCTCCATGGACATGAACCTCTCGTCACCGTATCTTCTTCCGCCGGGCAACACTGGATCTCGCGAATCTATTCACTCGTATGCTCGAACCCTCCAAACCGAAAATGACCCCTATAGACAAGTTGGCCAATACGCGAATAGTGATGTTGGCTCGGTCCGATCCTTCAAGACGACCGACAGTGGAAGACGCCCGCCCAAGTCCAGTGCCCTCGCCATGCCTCCGACCACGCCGCGAGGCCATTCGGAAGAGAAGGAGAACCCCTTTGCTACTCCCACCGCTCCTATGCCTACGCACCAGCCTCCTCCCAGTGCCGCCCAGGTCCACGACGTCATGGTTCCCGTCCAGCCAATTGTCCCGGAAATCGAAACCGTTGCCCCTGTCGACGTCTTCAACGCCGACGAATTCGAAGTGCCCGATATCCCGGCCCCTGCTCCCGCTGCTCTGAGGCTCGACGGCTCCCGAAGCCCCAACATGGAACCGAGCTCGGCGCGTTCATCTGCTTATACCGATAATGGCCGTGCCTCGCACGTCAGCCCAGCTGACATCCCCCAGATTCTCTCTCCCGGACAACCCACTCACCAGGATGCCCACGCACATGAGGAAGAGCAACCCCGTGGCCGACCCCTCTCCCGACTTCCTGAGCCTCACCAGGGTGGTGGTCTCGGCGTTCCTCAAAACAACGGCAACAAGCGACTCTCTGTGGGATTCAGGCCTCTGCCTCCTAGCGAAGCCATGGAATCTGACGACCCTGAAATCCGCGCCAACCGTATTCGATCTTTCTACAAGGAGTACTTTGATGATTCTAACGAAGCGCCCCCTCCTATGCCCCAAGCACCCAAGCACCTGCAACAGCAGCAGCAGCAGCAGCAGCAGCAGCCTAAGCCTCAGGGACAGGGCGGTCCCGATTACTATGAAGACTATGATCAAGGTTACCTAGAGGCAGCTGCTTACTATGACGCCGACACCAACGCCTTTGTTATGCCCTATGCCCAGCCTGTTACCCGTCGTGCCATGACTCCACCTCCCAGTAACCGTCAAGGTGCTCCGAGGGGCGGCTCGCGTGGCCCCGGCCCGCGCTTCCGCGGTGCTAATGGAAATGGCGGAACCTTCTCTCCCGGCCCTGGTGGACGTCCTCGCGCTGGATCGGCCTTTGGTCCAAGACCGGATTCCTCCGCATCTGGCGCATGGGCTCGCCAAAACCAGCCAAAGAAGAACTTGCCTCCTCCGGCTGCTTTAACCACGCTGCCAACGCCAGCTAAGCTCGGTGACGATTCTTTCGCCATCTTCAACGCCGCTGATTTTGCTCCCCCGTCAAGCATCAGGGATAATGTTGCCGGCCGCAGCCAAAGCCCCTTTGGCGAGCGAAAGGCCTTCCTGCAGCCACCAACTGCAGCCACACCACTGGCGACTGCTTTTGAAGATCTAACACCTTTGCCCAGCCCGTAAGTCCCATTGATCGTATTGATAAGAAAAAAAGGAAAACGATTGCTAACTCATCTCTAATAGACACTTGCTCCGAAAATCCAGCACCTTCACCGGCCTGGATTTCGCCCCTCCCAAGAAGTTCAGAGATCCCGAAGTTGCCAGCGACGCAGGCAGCATCAGGAGTAACAAGAGCGGCATCTCTCAGACGCAGCTCAATGCCATCCGCAGTGGAGCAGGCCGCATCAGTCGCCTTCCAGGTGACACAGTTTTCACGACAGCTGCCATGGACGACCAGCTGAAGCCCTCATGGACGCTGCGACCTTAGACGGGAGCAGAAGAAGGTGAAGGTTCTAAGCTGAATCTCGATGAAGATTAGCATTTCTTTAGTATCAGCGTCGTCATTTCTTGCTTACGGCATTTTGCATGATCTTGCCACCAGACAGCGGCATTCGAAAGCGGCTTCTCCCCAGGGAGGTTTGTGTTTTTATTTTTTTGTTCCCTTCGCAATCAAAGGAGTAATTAGGGGATTTTTCACGACGGAACTCTCTTTTCGAAAGTTTTTTTATATCTTATATATTGGGCCTTTTTTTTCCGATTTTTTTTTTTTTTGTGTTGCTGCGATGTTTGCATATAGATGGACACTGGAACCTAAACAACAACCTCCCGAACCGAAACACATGAAATATTACATCTCAGGTGACGACGACGACTTCGTGCCTCCTCTTGTTTGGGCATCTGAAGGAACAACAACTGTACATAGGCAATATAGGTCAATCAGATGCACTCACCCGTGTTATTATTTTCTTCTTTCCCCCAATATTTTTTACAGACAAGATTGTCATGATATATGATTAGTTTTACTTTTGCAATATAACAAGATTTGTTGAATTTGTATCTTTTCTCTGATTGTTGTCTGTCTGTCGTCTTCTGAGCTTATTGTACTGAAAAGGCCATTTGATGGGAGATGAAGTTGAGCGAATATCACGTGCTGTTGTTGTTGTTTCCTGTCAAAAGGAGTTTATGCTGTCGGATGCTTTGACGGCCGTTATTGTGGAGCGACGGGCTTGACGGCTGCGCTAATAAGTGCTATGATGCCGTGGGATCTTGGTGAGAACAATAATAGCAGCAAAGGGATCTCGTGGCTTATTATAGACTAGGAGATGATCATTCCGCATTCTATCACTGCGACTAATACTAGTAGCACTGTCAGTAATACCTACGGCATCATTGATGTCTTGCTCCAGCTGCGGAAACAGACATGTGCACTTGATGTCGCCCGTGCAAGGGGCGCTAATAATAACAGTGTCTAGGCTTGATGTTAGTAATCCACACCCCCCCACGGATCCGTGTGTTGTGGCAGTGACGGGGTGGGTGAGACGGGCAGTGCAGATTTCATTTCCGTCGCTTTTTTGTCTTTTTGTCCCCTTGCCGGCGGATTATAAGCCACTAGGCGCTAATACATCCATAGCGATAGCTTGATGGTTGCTTGCAATGATTGAGATGCATACATTAGTACCTATGTGGGCGAGGTAAGGCACGAAATGAAGTTTTTGCTGCCTTTTTCCTTTTTATTCTATAATTTGACTGTTGTGAGACAGCCAAAGCCCGTGCGTAATGGACACGCAAGATCCGCATCATATGAACATGCGCGCTCCGTAAATAATAACAGGGAATTTTACCAGGGGGTTGGTTTTTTTCCAAAATGATTTGCAAAACGTTGAGTGTGCGAGCCCGTTGCGCAGCACTTACAAGCAACCCCCAGTGCTACCCAAGATCCGAAGATGATTCGCTGGAAATTACATGCTCAGAGGAGGCGGAAAAAAATAAAATAACAAAAATAAAATAAAAAGTACAGTGGAAAAATTAGCAATTGAACGTTCTTTTTTGTTTTTTCCAGCGAGGCGATGCGATAAGGGGCAAAAGAGTCGTATACGGGACTGAGGAAAATATAAACAGGTGACTTTGCCTGAAAAGGGCTCACCATGTGCCAACAAGTCAGTGCTAAACGGAGCGGCGGCCTCTCACAGGTACCGGCCGCGGCTGACGCCGAGTTTCTTTCAGCGGTTAACCCAGCTCCGTAATCTCGCCTAGTAAGTCATCTTCTGGGCTTCGGCCAGCTGTGAAAAAAAAAAGAAAGGAAAAAAAATAAATTGAGCCGGTTCTGGTCATCACCCGGGTGCCAACTTGAACTTAACAGCCCCATCCGCCTCACTCTCCAGCGCTTGAGCTCGCAAGGTTGGACCCAGTTTCTCCGGCTTGGAACCGGCGCATTTTTCTCTTCGGGGGGGCTGCTAAGAGAAGTGGTGGCTTTTGGCATGATCTGCTAGCAGCTCCAGCCACTAACACAAGTCGATGTGTTTTTGACACTGCTGCTTCTTTTTTTTTTTTTGGGTTCTGTTTTTTTCCCTTTGGGGGGGAGAGAAGCTTTGCTTGAATAAGCTTTCGGGGAGGCAAAAACTTTAGCACAACCCAGATTGCCGGCTCAAAGCGAAAACAAGATGCTGGAAAAATTTCACGTGAAAAATCTACAACAGCTGCAGTATTTACAAAATGCAGCAAGAGGGGAGACATGTCAAAGTTTTTGACAGCCCGTCAAGAGGAACAAAAGAAAAAGCACAAGGCAAGAGGCAAAATAAATTGGCCGAGACTGTAGGAACGCGCATCCAGTACGAGCGGCGCTAAGCCACAAGAATCCCCTCCATATCGTCCGTTTTTTTTTTTCTCTTCTGTCCATCTTGGCGGGTGCGTCAGAACTTTACAGCTCGGCGTTTCCTTTCGTATCGTGCTGTAGCTACTCTTGGCCTCGCCTTTTGGGCGTTTTCTCACCCGCGCAAGCCCAGCCAAAACCGATTGATTGAATTTTTTCTTTCTTCCGCTAGCACCTAGGCAGTTTAGTTTTGGTCCTTTTCCCATCGGACAAGTAAAGCGCCGGCAAGCCTTATACGCGTGTATCCTGCCTGCTGCACTTGATCGGGGGCTTGGACTCGGCCTCCTCTCGTCATCAAATCCTTTTTCTTGCTGCCCCCCTGGCAGCGGTTCCCTGTCCTGCCTGCTGCTCGTATCTTCTGCTCTTTTTTTCTTCTCTCTTCTCCCGCGCGCATCTCCTAAGCGCCTTCCAGCAGCTTTGCATCCTCCATCTCCTCTTTTTTGCTCTCCCACGACGCAAAGTAAAGCAAGACACGCCCCTCCACTCGGCGGCTCCCAATCTCCACACTCGCGCTGCTTGCGGTTCCATTCGCTGCAACGGGTGCGAATCTCGTACGAGCCTAGGCCTACCTAGCTGCTTCTTTTTCCCTGGGTCCGTCACAAAGTCGCTGCATCCCAGCTCTGCGGCTGGATTGGACGCCCTGTTGTGTTTTACGAGGCGGAAGCCGATAGCGAGTGAGAGAGACCCATCTCGGGACAAGCATCTTTTTTCTCTTCCTTCTTTCTCTGTTGCTCTGACGGCGGCTGCTTTCTTCTCTCATCTGCTTCGCCGTTCGAATCGATTGCTTCGTTCCGCGCGCCTAAATCCCTTTTTTGGATTCTTCTTTTGGAACGCTGGACTAGCCAGACAGGTACGTTTGCGGCTTCTATTGTCTTGCCTTTGGCCTCCCTTATCAGCCCGAGTCGTTGCTCCGACGATCTCGTCTGTTGTGCTTCCCCGACGTCTTTGGACCTTTTCTTCCTGGGCGTGTGATTGGGTTCTCGCCGACTCTGTGCGCTGCGCATGCGTTCGGCCTGGAGCCGGTGCATGGCCTCGTCTTGGGAGCTTATCTCTGTAGGCATTGTTGACTTCAGATGCTCATGACGATGGCTACTTGCTTTCTACGCTGCACTTGTCGCTCAATCTACCTCTGCGCTCTGCTTAAACGCCTCCACGGCCTCGCGCTGACATGACACACAATCACAGCCAACTCGCTCCTCTGGTCAATCCCGTCGGCGTCACAATGGCCTCAACCGATCCACCACAGGATTCGTCCGCACCACCGGCGGAAAACGCAGCGCCCAGTTCCACGGCTCCTCCGCCCCAGCAATCGACAACGGCGCCTCCCGATCAACCGCCAACGTCGAGCGCACCACCTCCACCACCACCATCGTCGACTCCATCGCCGACGCCATCATCAACCCCGTCTGATCCCCCGAGCTCGACTCCGTCTTCTACTCCTCCGCCAGAGAGCTCGACTTCTGCGCCTCCTCCCCCGTCCTCATCTTCGACTACCGAGCCGCCGCCGTCGACAACCCCATCGAGCTCATCGTCACCATCTTCAACGCCGGACTCGTCTACTTCTTCCAGCACAACGTCGGAGCAATCATCCACCACTGCCCCTCCTTCAACGACGCCACCACCGACCTCTTCTTCTTCTTCTTCTAGTCCGTCATCAGAAACCACAACTCCGCCGTCATCTACCGATGTCACTGTTTCTGTCTCGGGCACCGATGGCTCTACCGTCAATGTCGTCGTGACACACACCAGGACGCCTACAGACTCCCCAAGTGGGGTGACTACCTCTTCCACCTCTACGGCAACCCCGAATGGCGTTGCTGGCAAGGACAGCGGCGGCGGTCTTGATTCAAAGGCCAAGGTGGCCATTGGTGTGGTCGTCCCCATTGTTGCCATTGCTATTTTGGCAGTCATTGGCCTTTTCTTCTGGAAAAAGACTCGCGCGCGTCGTCAAGCAGAGGCAGAGCGCCGCAAGGAAGTCGAAGACTATGCTTACAATCCCAATGCCGATCCCACAATTCCGGTTGTTGGCATGTCTGGTGGAGACTCTTATGAGATGAGGGAAGAGGAATCTGTGGGATATCGTGGCTGGGGATCGACTACTCTTGCTGGCGGCTCAACGGGCCGCAAGGCTTCTACAACGATATCCGGCGCCACCAACCAGGGATACTCTGACGTTTCGCCTCCTCGCGGCAACATGTCTGACGCTGCACTGATTGACAACCAGGAGGGAGAGATTCTCGGTGCCATGGGTCCCGCAGCCGCAAACAACCGAGGTGACGTTAGACGAGGAGCCTCCAATGCGTCTTCTTCATACAGCGCTGGGCGATCAGACGGCTCCGAGGGGGCCGTGGGCGTGGCTTATGGCGGCGGCGGCGGCTATTACGATCAGTATGGCTCCAGCCCGTATGAGGCTGGCTATGGCAATCCTGGCGACAACATGCCCGCTCCACCCATCATCCGCGATAATCCTGCACGACGCAGCGCGCGCGTTGAAAATCCTGGCCACTTCCCGCAGCAGAGCGCTGGTATTTCCCAGAATTTCTAGTTGGCGCGGAGTGTGAGGCTCGGACGAATTTCTTTTACTTTTTAACGCCCGTTGTGTTTCAAGGATATCCTGGGGTTTTGGAAGATGCTAAAGGACCATAAGAGGCGTTTTAGGATGTTCTGGTTTTTTTGCGACCACCTTGTTTAATAATGCTTTGCATACCATGAAATCTGGGTCTTCTTCTTTTTTATTTACGCTCGCTACTGCATCCACACTCTCGCTTTATTTATTTATTGCGCCGCACAGCACAACACGGCAAAGCTGCATATTCCCCCCCTTGCCGTTGTAATTGGCATTTTAAGATTGAGTTTGTTTTCATTCTATGCGCCAAAAGACATGATTTAATCTGGACAAGAGCAAGGAGGAAGCAGGAGGATGAAGCAGGAGGATGAAGATGAAAGGCCCTGCTTAAGATGTTTGCTTGTTTTTGCGACAAGACGGAGGAAAAGGTGGCTGCTGTCATGGCTGAATGATGATGGGGTTGAATTCATGACTGTTTCATGCTTAGTACTTGGTACGACTGGCGCATGTATTGGTCACGACAGACAAGCAAACGATCAAAAACGGGGGGGAAAAAAAAAGAAGAAGACGCACTTTGTACATAAGACATACGATATGCATCTGCAGGCGTAGCGAGCCCCCGATTTGTCTACCACTATTACTGCTACGGCTGCTTGCTGTTTTTTCTTCTCACTTTTTCAGTCTTGCTATTGTCATTAATGCCCCCCTTTTGTCTAAAACAACACATTCTTCCCCCCTTTTACCCTTTTTACGTATTTATCTAGGTATTTTATGCTATTTAATAAAAAAAATTATAGAACTACTACTACGCTCGTAAATGCTCGCTGAAAGTAAAAAAGTAATTTTTGTTCTCGTTTGTATGACTGCTTATAATGAAGAAAAGTTGATGTAAATGCTATTATTTCTCTGTATAATGTAACCTTTTTTATACCATTAGCTTTCAAAATACTTACCCATGTTTTTTCCCACTTCTCCTTGGCTTAAATACCTGATATGGATAGACGAAAAAGGGAGTATTTGAGAGTACCATGGCAGCACACTTGTGCCCTTCTTCTCCCCCCGCTTGCTCGATGCCAGAGCGAGATTTGAACCATTTACTGGTAGCTTGCTAGAAAAGACGCATCTTTCGTCTTGCTCATGTCTGACATACCCTTATTTATACATCAAGTCATCATATTTCTACTTAATAGGTACTGGCTTATCTACAAGTATCCTCTGTTGTGTGTTAGTAGTTTACATCATCTACGCAAAAAACACCCCTAATAAAACTCCCAGCTCGTCGCCAAAAAAGACAATTATTGTACATGCTTTTATTTTAATATTTTCCCCTGTTTTTTTTTTTAACTCCAAGAATTATCCATTTCCCGTTCGTGCGCCTTCATCTCGATGCTGTCATTCACGCTCTTAGCCAAGCCGTCGCTGCGCCTCGCTCTCCCATCCCCTGACTCAACTCCATGCGGTCCCACCAGAAGCGACATTGCTCCAGCTCCCTCTCCGTCAACGTCCTCGCCTTCACAGGAGTGCCTTGATTCCGTCCTCCCGCGGCTTCGTCATTGCCCTCTCCAAAAACTAGAAGCTTGCCGGCTCCAGTTCCTGGAACAGAAGAGCCACTGTCATCTCCCAAAGGCGACTGAAACTCGGGCCACCGTTCATCTTCATCCCTCGCGTCCAACTTACCAGACGGAGATGAGCAAAAGGAGACCCAGCGATGGTTCATTTCTTTAGCAGTGGCCACGAGGCCTGGCGTGAACTCGAGCACATTAAGATCGTGCGTTACGGCGGGAGGCTGGTCGCTGTGAGAGGCTGCCTTGAAGGGAGAAGACAATGCGGCGTATTCATAGACATAGACGCGGGCTCCGGCCCTGGATAGAGTGTGTGCGGTGTGTAGTATGGGGCAGATGTAAGCATAGTGGCCATATGCCTCATGAATGCGACGGAACTGAGCCCCATAGGGGCGTTTCTGAGGACCGCCTATACCGGGAGGCTGACGGTACGGGGAATCTGGATCGATGAGGGGGTCTGGGTAGAGCAGCTCGAGCGCATCGAGATCGTCTGCCGAAAAGGAAGGGATGAGTTTCTGGAAGAAAGAGCGGAACTCGGCGCTGGTAGAAGCATGCTGGGGCGCAAAAGTAGTGCCCTCGTGAGAGCAAAAGCCTGTGATGACGGACAGCTCCTTTGCGCGGCCTGAACTAATAAGATCGCGCCACAGATTCAGGGGCAGATCGGGGATGACGCCTCCAGGGCCATCAATGACGGGCTGGAAAGGCCAAGTCACGGCCGTGTGGTGCATAGCGTACACGGTAAAAGAAGACTGGATGAGATCGTCGATGGGGAGAGAACCGAGCGGCTGGTTGTTGGCATACATGCCGAGCTCATTTAGCTGTCCAATGTTGCGAGGATGTGAAGGTGAGAGGACAGAGCGCGCAGTAGGAGAACCAGATTCGAGAATGGCCTTGCGGAAGGGAAGGGGCGAAGGGTTAAGCATGTGATGGCCAACCTGAAGAAGCAGTCAATATCGATATTCAGCCATGGGACATCACCACCAGCATCATCATAACTCACCGAATGCGCCCCAGCACTCGATCCCCAGAGCGTGATATCGTCCACATCCCCCCCAAACTCGCCAATCCACTGTCTCACCCACTCAACCGCCACCCGCTGATCCTTCAGGCCCAGATTCAGTTCCGGGCCCTTTGACGTCGCCTCTGTCGATCCAGACAAGAAGCCCAAAGCGCCCAGGCGATACGAAATGCTCACAACCAGCACCTGATTCCGCCCCCAGGCCACAAACGATGCCAGATCCCTCTCCGCAGGGAAGCCAAAGTTAAAGGCCCCGCCGTGCACGTAAATCACCACCGGCAAGTCTCGCCTCGCAGCACCGCCAGCCGCAGCAATCGCAGCAGTGAGAACATCCCCATCACCATCATCACCATCGACGCCGCCAATGCCATCGCCGGCCCCCACAAACGCCGACGCCGACGCCGAAAAGGACGGCCGGACGATGTTGAGGCTCAGCGGGTCCTCGGCCGTTGCGTGCGGCGCCATCGGGAAGGGCTGCGAGGGCGCCGGCCGCGAGGCGTCGATGACGAGGCCCGAGGAATGATTGTCCAGAGGCATCGCGACGGCGGGGCTGAAGCGCCGGGCGCTGGCAAAGGGGATGCCGTGGAACATGTCCAGCGCCTGGGGGTACTTGGCCGAGGCGGGCTGGAAGGCGCCCACGACGGTGCAGCCGTTGACCGAGACGGTCGGCGAGGACGACATGGCGGGTGCCTGTTTGGCCTGGACAGGCGATCAAGAGTTGAATGAGACGGGGTATGAAGCTGGAAGTTGATAGTGGAGGTTGGCGATGCCTTCAAGAGAGCTGCACGCGAGTCAGCCTGGAGTATGACGTACGTCTCTCTTCTTCCTTGTTCGTTTAGAATATTTCGTATTGTGAAAAAACGACAAAGTCTATCAAATCCAACCGGATAATCAACAGTATGGCGAATGGAAATGTCCTTGTTTGAGAGAAAAAAGATGAAAAGATGACGAGTCAAGATGGTAAACAGGCTGTAAACCGAGACGAGTCTTTCCTGCCAAGCTAGGCCAGCTCCAAGCTTCTGACAGCTGACGGGATCCACGCTTAAGCTCCCCAGCGACCAGCTACTGCACCTAAGACGCTAGTTGGAGTCTGTTAGGCGGTACAAGGTCTCAAGCTCTGTAAGATGTTGGTGTGTTTAAGAGTTGCAAAAGGCATGGGACTGAAAAAAGTAACCTGGCAAAAGAGGGCAGAAAAATGTGAATAAGGTACAGAGCTAGCTCAAAAAGAATTCGGAGGGGCCAGTGAATGAATGCAACGATAACCCGCGTCCCTAGCTTCAAAAGTTATCAATAAAAGTGAATACCAGAAACCGGCCGAGCCAATAAACGCCGTCTGGATTTGCCTTTCCCGCTTCAGGCGCTTGGCCTTCTTTTTTCTCATCAATCCTTCTTGCCCTCTCGGACCGAATTGCTGCTCATGTTGCCTGCCTCCCTATTCATATAATAGATAATAGTGGTTGATTGTTACATGTTATTAAGATTATAATATTTGTAATAGTGGTATTGTATTTAAATAAACCACCAATCCATAATACCATCTACTGTCACCATGGCAGACGACAAACACACACACGTGCAGTCTTGTCGTAGTGATATAGCCATGTATGCACTAATCTAGTCTATTGTTCCAACAATGCATTCAAGCCCGGCCAGCAGATCCCTTTAGCCTCATCCACCGTGCTCCAACGCATCTGCCCAATTATCGGCCGCCAAATAGTCAGCCCTGCATCTCTCAATGCCACGTCCTCTCCATCTTACTACTCTTACTATCAGTCTACTACTCCATGTAGTATACCGGTAGTAAGTAGCAAGTGCTAATGTATGTTACTATGACTCTAGTGAACAAGTATTATTGCGCCTCGACGGCTGCAATCATGGGATCGCTCCCAAAGTGATGTAAAAGTCCTTGAATCCCAAAAACGTCGGCGAATGCTCAACGTCAAATCCAGATGCCCAAAAACTCCGATTCCTTCCTTTGCCCAATATCCCCTATCTGTACAATCCGATCCGTGCCCAATACTCAATACACTTCGACCCCTGTGTAGCCTCCCTCTCTCAGAGAAATTGTTGTGTTCCTGTGCTGCTCAGACAATGTAGAGCATCTGTGGTAGGACAACAAAAAAGAACAAACAAAGGAAAAAACACCAGCTTATGGTGGAGACGAGAACGACAAGAACAAGCCGTGGATATCGCCTCTCAAGCCCAAGCTTTGCTGATGATGCCATCTCTTCTTCGCCTAGTTACGGCCCCGTTTCCTATTTCAGAGGCGGTGCCTCCTTACGGTGCTTTCTCTCTGCCCACTCGCGGCTCGCCTTCCTAGAGCGCTCAGCTGCCTCATCGCGGGCTGCTTTAGCAGTCACTGGCCTTTCGCTGATATCACAGCTCTTCCTCTCGTTGATGCTTGCAGTGTCGTGTGCCTGGATCTCTTTGCTTCGGGGTTTCAGCCGCGACATCAAGCCTCCTATGGACAACAGATTCTTATTCTTAGTTGAGCTGCCCAATGATGCCAGAACAGTTCTATTGATCTCCTCAGCGGCCGCCATCATGGAGCTGCGCCCGCCGCGCTTCTTCTCCGTCTTGATAAGCGTGGGTGTCGTCGGCTCGTCGCGCACAAGACCCAGCGATAGCCGCTTGACCTTATGCAACGAGGCAGCCAGTCTTTCTGCAGTCTCTTCCTGAATTTTGGCTTGGCGAGCCCGACTTGCCACCGTGTCCCGGGGAAGCGTGCTGGGCGTAGAGCTTGGTTTTGCAGGCCGTGCCTTGAATTCCCGTTTCTTGCGCTGCTCTTCCTCCTGGGCCTTGAGCTTTGCCTCGCTTTCCTCCTTCTTCCGCCGGGAGATGGTATCTCCGGGCAACTCAAATGTAGGTCTGGACAGAGTCTTGCTAGTTCTTGGCCTGGCTGGAGGAGCTTCTAATGCCTTGTGAGCCGCGGCTTGCTGTGCTTCGCGGGCATCACGAACCTCCTTCAAGCGCCGAGCTACAGCCTTACCTGGTAACTCGAACTTGGGAATCGTAGGCGTTTTTGATGATCCAATCGAGGACTTGGCGACCGTCGCCAGGGTGCTACCAGCTTTGGACATGAACAAGCCAAGACCCGACCGGCGGCTCAGAGATCCTTTGGTGGTTGGCTCTTCTGGGATCCTCTCCCGCACCACAAGAGACGTAGACCGACGTGGCAGCGCACTAACTTTCTCTGTAGGCTTAACGCGAACTGTGGCCGGCGCACCCGCTATGGCCGATCTTTTCGAGGCTTTAGCCACCTTCTCTGCCGCTGGCTGAGGGACAGCTTTTGCTAGCTGCTGCTGTTGCCGTTTTTCTAGCAGCGCCAGCTGTTGAGAGTGCAGCTGTTGAGAGGTTGTAAAAGCATTCAGTGCCTCTATCTCATCCTCCAGTCGGTCCAGCTCCTCTAGAGAGTCTTCGATTCGTGGCAGTGAGAACGATGTGGTCCTTGATGAGCTCTCGCCAAAGCTTCTGTCACTCACTGCCGTAAACGTCGGCGACACTGCATTCTCAACAGCATATACAATCTCCGGAATCTTCATTGGTGGCGTTCCTGGACGGCTTCCGTCTACCCAGGTTACAGATTCGTCGTCCTCGCCCATGATCCGAGGCTCCTGCATCTCCACAGTCCAATTGGCGCTGTACTGCAACGGCGTGGCCAACAGATAATATGAATTGAGCGGGCACTCGCTGTCGCTATGAGGCGCTCGCTTCTTCTGCAACACTAGACTGCAGGCGTACACCGTATCGTCAACTCCGTACGTGCCGTGCCCTTCAAGGTACTCTTCAGAGGAGCTGTCGTGGATGGTTGAATCTGGAGACGGCAGATGGGTCATCAGCCACTCGAATTGACCGGCCGAGTGCTTCTTAACCTGCTCCCAGATGGAACGCTCGGTAACCGTGTCTTTCAATAGGTCGTATATTTCAGCGAAGCGCTCTAGGAGAATCGCAACATATGTTAATGACTGGTTACAAAGAAGGAGAAGAAGAGCCCCAACGATTGCGACTGTATGCCAACACACCTGGAGATTCACGAGTGGACGGTGGCCCCGTGTTCTCATAATTGTGCTTGTTGACACTCAGCGCAGATGCTGCTCGCGATGAGTCGAGAGGCCGAAATGTCTCTGAATCAACCGCTGGCCGACGTCGAAATGGCTGTGAAGCTGTTTTGGGTGCTCGACAGAGAGTCGAGGGGGATGTTGCCACGACATGCTTCTTCATCCCAGTAGCAGAGGCAACATCCGATGCCTGACGACCCTGGCCGTGACATTGACCTTGGCAAGGATCCTGGTCGACACTACCCCCCGCTAAATTCCGCTTCGACGAGGTGATTTGCTTTGTCGGAAGATGAGGCAGTTTCTCGTACTCGTAAATGTCACGAGAGCTGGCGGGTCGCCCAAAAATGTCGGACCCAAAGCGAACGTCAAATGTGCCTCCATGCCGCAAAGTCTCAAAGTCGCCGGCCTCTCTTGCCGATGAGGCGGCAGTCCTGCGCTGGACCATCGCTTCGCCAACGTGATTCCGAGACACAAAAATCCGTTGAGGGCCAAGTGGACTGGGAACTTCGCAAGCAGGGGGTTTCTATCAGATACGACAGAAATCACACTATTCGCGCCCAGTACCAAAAAAATGTATGTAATTTCGCAAATGACCCTGAAGTCCGTCGAGTGCGCAAGCGGGGCCAAATCCAAAATGTTCGCGAATTCTTCTATTTCAACTAGTGGTGATGAACTGAAATCAAGATTGCGATGATGATGCTGATTTGGGCATAGTAACATAAGCAGATGATTTTCTGGGGTAAATGAGCTGGGCTGGTCTGCCGTAAAGAAGCTGCATGAACTGGGTGTTGATGGCGGATGAAACCGATATGGCCTTTGGTGGAGCCGAAATTAAATGAGTGCGGCCTCTTCCACCTTCCACCGCTGCCGCCCGTGTTCCACTGTTCTTGCTTCGACCTTGTCGACCCATCGTCATTTCCGTTTTCTTTTTATATCGCTTGCTTTCTTTTCCGGTCGCTGTGCTGAACGTGGCGAGCGGCATCGCAGCCGAGACCGAGGCAACGCGTCGCGATTGTATCGCCCGCCCCGCTATAAGCTACCAATCTTCGGCATGCGAAGCTGCCAATTGATGACTGGTGTTCTTGACATTTATGAAAAGATGCCGCCTCTGTCTGCTCAGATTTCAATATCTTGCAGCAGAGGCACGAGCATCTTCTGAGACATAATCTTCCAAGCCGGGGGACCATAAAACCAAAAATAGAGCTGCCCATAAGCTACCCGATGTGCTGTGGTTCCTGGAGTGAATATTCATAGCCTCTTATGTCGCCGTGATAATTTTTTGCCCAGCTTGGGTATCATTCTCATAATAGTCGAGTTCGAGGCTCTCTCTTTTAATTACCGCCGTCCGCTCGTTCTAGCCTAAGGATCCGAGGTCGATTCTCCCTCAGCTGCCGCTTCGGCCGCTTCTGCTTGCGCCTGCAGTGCTGGTGCATGCTCCGTAGGAATTCGTACTAGAGTTTGGGGTAGTGGTCCAGTCGATGAGGACGCTTCTTCTTCTGGGCCAGCATCGGCTGCTGTCTTTGCTAGTTTTGCTGTGTTACGTTAAGCTGCTGTGCGTATTAAAGCTATAGTGCCTCCATGAAGCTGTACTTACTTGAAGCCATGTTGATGGCACGAAGCACGTTATGCCAGTTGCCAACCACAGCAGCAATCGCTATCTGCATGTTATTATCAAGCCAACATTACAATAACAGCTACCTAGATAGGTAGCGAGCAGCTAATCTTACCCTCTGTTCCATCAGACAGGGTGGACAGTTTCTCTTCCAGAGCCTCCATCTGGGTTGCTACTGCTGCGCTCAAGTCTCTGAGCTCTTTCAAATTCTCAAGCTCTGCCTTCTTCTCTTCGATTCGGGCCAGCAGTGCTGGTGACTGTGGAGCTGAGGCGGTTGAACTGCTTTGTGCGCGCAGATGCGACGAAAAAGATCTGGTGGGATACGACATTTTGGGCAATCAGTGGTTGTGTATGTGCGGAAATACACTCGGTAGATAGGCGATGACGGATTAGTTGTTGCTCGAGGACGGTATGGGATAACCTGAGAGGCCAACTGGATAAATTGTGATTGTGATAAACAAAGAATGCGAACGCGATGGTGAGCTTCGAGCCTTGGACCTTCAACAACATGCAGCTAGCCTGGAAGAATGCCATTGATTGGGTGCGACAGTAGTGTGGCATACTGTGCAAAATACTACATTTGAAGTATATAGACACTGTACATATATAGTAGTTGACTAAGAGCGTAGGTACATCAACAAACGATCGCATTTAAATGCGAGGCATTATCCTTTGGATCAGCTACCAGAGCCACACAATGTTGAATGTTCATGGAATTACATATCTAGCGGCTTAGGGCGAGAATTTTCATAACCTAGGCCGCTGCAACAGCTGGGTGTCCTATTTGTAGGAATTAATTGCCTGACTCGCTACATCTAGAGGCAGCAATGTCTTCTTGTACCTATACAAAGCAACTAAGCTACCTATCAGCTAGAGAATCTCGCTTTTAATATCAGTGAAGACGCAAAAGGTTAAAATTCATACCTGAGTGCTTTCACGGGTTATTTAAGATTCGGGTAGAAGTTGTTGAGGTTAATTCACGTGGCGTTTAGTGCTCTGGGCATAGCAACGGGAGCTGCTTTGTGTACATTGGCATGTACCGATTGGCCCCATCTAGCGCAGGTTCATTCCGCGCTATGCCCAAACAAGACATGGAGTAAACAATGATCCCCAAATTCATCCCGCCAGCGTCGACGACCTGCAGACCGACTTCCTAAACGTTATTGACGCCCATGCAAACGTCTCTCGCTCTACTGTCTCGAAGCTCTTCTCTTTAGTCCTTTGCGCAGCAGATACGCGCGCTCTGTGAGGAGCCATGGCCAGGCTTAACGAAATGCCGGCGCCGACAGAGAGCATCGAAACGCGTATGTGTCTCTTTGTTTTTTTTTCTCGAGCCCTCGGGCATCAAAATCTAGAGTATCGCGTGTGCTAACCATGAAACAGTTCGTAAGAAGATGCTTCGCCAGAATAGGGAACTCGCAAAGACAAATAATATTCGGGCCTTACGAATTCGAGAGCTGGAAAACGAGTGCGCCTGTATGCTATCCGAAAACCTCGAACTGCGCAGCCGCATACTGGAGCTGGAGAAACAAGTCGAGGACAATGAATCGCAAAGGATCGCGGATCACGCAATGGCCATCAAGGCCAAACTAGAATCGCAGCTCACGGAATGGGGCTCCCTTATTGCTGAATTGGGCCTTGAGCCTCCCGCAAAGAGACATTCGCCCATGATTAGGAGAAGGCCGAAGCAGACTATGGGCTACAGCGCAAGTCGCCCCAGTCCATCGCAGAGGAGGCTACGCGAGATCGCAAGGGACGTTGAGGAATTGGGCCACATTTCGGAAAATAAGAGCTATCCACGGAGATCTATGAAGTGAGCGGGTTCAATTTCTTGCGGATGAATCAAGTTGCTAACCGATATCTAGTCCTGAACAAATCATGGCGCTCCGATCAGAGGCTGATATCGAGGCTGAATCACCGGAGTTGGGCCCTCCACCAATATCTAAATATATCGAACAAGACCCGGTGAAAATCGACTCTCCGAGTAGATCAAAGCCTTTGAAGGATGACGATGAAAATTCGAACAGTTTCAAAGCGAGAAAAATCGAACCTCCAGTTTCTCTGTCCATCTCAAAATCAAACAGCAACCTGGGCAACGTATCATCTTTGCCTAAAGAAATAGAAAGGGAAAAAGAGCAGAACGAACGGCCCGTGATAGCGCCAAGACGTGGGCGACCCCCTAATAAACTCAAACATGGCGTTGAAAATACACCGATTGAACCCCTTAAGGCCGGGTCAAAACGAAAATTTGGAGCTCGAGATGATGAGGAGTATATTCAACCGCAAAGAGTGACGGACGAGAACAGTATGGGCAAGATATTGGGGGAAAAGACACTGCTTCGCGACAAGGCTGATGGAAGAACTGTCAACGATTTTGCCAAGCTGAGAAAGAGTTCACAGCTAGATCTCTCAGAGAACATTCGAAAACCGCTATCCGCCAAGAGCACTAACGACGATATCAATTCTCCAAAGAAGAATCCTAAATTGAAATCATCCATAGCTGATGATATTCTAGCAGCCAAGACCAACACAGCAAAGCCGAAAGCCGCACCCGGGAGGCCACCAAAATCGTCAAAGCTTTCGTCTGTCAAAGCCGAAACTGTGCCTATTCTTACTGTTGAACCTCTGAAACCAACAGATGATGTGCATGATTTGGCAGCACCCATCAGAGAGTCTTCTTTATTCTCACCCTCTTCTCCGGCAATAGCTACACTACTCGATGGATCACGGGGAGACACGCCTCCGCCCAACGATATCTCGTCTAGCGGAGAAACATCACGGCCTAGTAGGCGGAATCGGATGACTATCAGCTATACCGAGCCCAACTTGAGAGTCAAGATGCGACGGCCTACTAAAGAGCTATTTGATGCGGTAGCTGGGGAGGGCAAGTATGCTCGACGAATTAGCAACTACGATCCCGCCATGTCTGAATCAGCAAAAACCCAGCGGCAGATTGAAGTGACGGATTTTGCTACAGAAAGTGGCAATGCTCCGCCAAGTCCACTGGCAACAAAACAAGTCACCACTGATATCCTTTCCGGTAGTGGCGTTACAGAGCGACGAAAACGTTCCTCCAGTATAGCGCCAAAGGCGATGGAAACTACAAGCGATAAATCAATGGACATGGAAATCACCGAAAGCAGCAACCTTGATAGCAGCGGGTTGGCAGACAACGATGTATACGAATTTACAAGCGAGTCGCCTCCGCATGAGAAAGAAGAGATTAAAGAACCGAAGAAAAGGGGTCGAAGACGGACTACAACCTCAAGGCAGTCTACTATGATGATTGACGAAGACAGTGAAAGAGATGGTATATCATTTGGGGAGAGGAATAGCTCTCGGCGAAGGAGCATGATGATATAATAGCGACTTTGAAAGCAAGAAGGGGGAATGGAAAAAAGGATATGGTGTCTTTCAAGCATAAGAAGTGCTGGGCGTTTGTGGATTTTTCACGACTTGTGATCGGGATATATTGTTAGGCGATGCTGAAACTTTTTTTCACGCTCGAGATACCAAGCGAAGGAAGTTATTGGATGGTGTTTGTATTTATCGTTATGACCCTGTTTTTGAATCTTATGTGGTTTGTCCGTGGTCTATTCTCAAGGACACTTCACACTTAGCCAGAGTCTATTTCTGTTATTTCATCTCTCGGTGTAAGTGATATATGCCTGTGCACCGACAAGCACCATGGCGTTTTGTATAACTGGGTTGGCCGGGTATTAACTCTGCTTCTCCCTTTGCCGTCGACGATTAAGATGTCTCTATTAGTTGAGTGTCCTTTTTTCTCTCGCTCCATTCAAATTAGGCGTCATGATGAACCAGTAGTTGGCTCCACCGGCTTTGTATAGGTGACCTTCTCCACAGCCACATTCTCGTTTCCTTTCTCATCCGTCTTCAATTGGTATACGTAGAGAGTGAGCGAAATGCCCTGGACCTGTTGTAATAGTAAGCACCACAAAACAAAGGCAGTCTCGCGAAACATGACAGGTGCCCCTTACATCCATCAAGCAGAAACTTGGAGACACAGGCTCCGCCTCTAGGCTTGCTCCTGTCACGAATGCCCCCGTCGCGCTTCCCGGGTTCACAAAGAATTTGTCCATGTACTCAAAGGCGTCGAACCGGTGAGTGCCGCCCCAGCACAAGACGTCGACGTCCAGCCGATTGGCTTCGGCCAGCAGCAGGTCGGGCTCGGTAGAAACAAGCGTGAAGCCCTCGAGGAAGCCAATTCGGATGCCGCCGTGGGTGACGACTTGCGTGAGCGGGAGAGACGTGGCCTCGACATCGGTGCGGCCCTTGACGATCTTGAGATCCGGCGACACGGACCGCAGGTACTCGTACGTGTGTTTGTCTGTGAGGTTACCGAGACATAGTGTCTGGCCAATCTTGCCGGGCGCAAGCAGCTTCTTGAACTAGAACATGGTATATCGCAAGTCAGCAAACAGGAACGTAGTCGAGCTCGGTGACAACACTCTTTTCTTCTCCAGGGTATAAGGCAGGCCCAGGCTGGCCGGCCTCTTGTCTTGCGCATTTACCTTGGCTGGGATATCAAGCGCCCTGTCCGGGATGTGCAGATCCCCAATCACCAATATGAGGAACGTCATGGTTCCTCGAAACTGCGGAAAAGGGTCAAAGTCGAACTTGCGAAAGCCGGGATCCCTCACACAGCTGACGACCAATAGCTGCGGCTTGGAGCTAGAGCGAGGCTTGGAGGGGCCGCAGGTACGTCGACAGCCCGGATACAGCGATGAAGCGGATACTGTCATGAGGCACGGCTTGTGGCTGACATTCAGCTTAGCCACAAGTTCAACTCTCCACAACTGCACGCTACAGTGGTTGTTATCGGGCTGGCGGGGATTGCGATAAGGGAATTTTTTTGATCTGGGTGCTTTTGCTTGTTCGCAACGGCGTTGCGCTTTCTGCTCTCACGCAACCAGATTTGGAGATTACGACGGAATCGACAAAAAGATGGCGACTCCGACTCCGACTCTGGCCGAGAAGCTGGACAAGATCAAGTCTCCCGGTCTTCAAAGCCAGCAGAAGGTAAAAGAAAACATGAGAGGAAGAGAGAGGGTCTTTGTGATTTTCTGTTACTGACTTTGTGTGTGTGCGATTTAGACTGTCGTTGTCTTGCACGCGGTCGAATCAACCTTGAAGGAGCAAAACACCGCTCCGACTTCCACTGGATATTTTGCTGCCCTTCTCGCGCTTCTGCAACAGGCCGAGAACAATGGAAGCATCAATGCCGAATTAGCCACTCCCGTGGTGTACCTTCTTGACGTGGTCACCCCGTTCGCTCCCCAGCCTCTGCTTCGATCCAAGTTTACTCAGATCCTTACGCTGCTCGCACCGGTTTTGTTGATGCAGGATGCAGAGCCAATTCTGCTGAGGACCTCAATTGGGTGCCTTGAGTCTCTCCTCCTGGCTCAGGACGCCGCTTCATGGGAGCTGTCTGTCACCCAGATCGGACCCAGGCGCGCAGTTGCTGGATTGTTGAACCTGGCTTTGGATCAGAGGCCCAAAGTCCGGAGACGATCTATGGATGCGCTCAAGAGAGTACTCAAGAACCCCCCGCCCAGCCCATCCTTGGACCACCCGGCCGCAGACATGTGTGCGCACACTGCGCTGAAGAACTTGGAGGATCTGGCCGCCGAGGCTATCCAGGCACGAAAGGGCAAGAAGGCGCCCAGCACAACGCACGACCCGGCATTAATTCATGCACTTCAGCTGGTCAAGACGGTTGCTGCGGCAAGTGGTGGATGGCCAACGACCAAGATCGAATCTCTTTGCGAGCTGCTCCTAAACATTGCTAAATCCGGCAACGAGTACATGACCATGGCGGCTTTTGAGATTTTCGAATTAATGTTTGAGGGAATGACGGACGAAGTCACCTCAGCAAAACTACCTCGCTTGATGGAGATTATCTCAGAGCTGCGCCCAGCTGCCAACGATACCCAGCTTGTCCCTGCATGGCTTGCCATCCTATCCCGAGGCTACGACGTCTCGGCACAAGTCGAAGCCGACGAGACTTTCCAAAACCTTCCCGAACTCTTCAACATGGTGGCGCAATTCCTCCAGTCTGATTCTGAGAACATTAGAATTTCTGCTTCCGAGTGCTTGATATCATTCATGGCCAACTGCGTGCCGCCCAATGTTATCCTCGAGCCCTCAATATTCGACGAGAAGGTCTTGGATAAAATCGCAAAGGCGGCCGAGTCCCTCCTGAGTGTTCAGTATCAGGCCGCTTGGCTACAGACTTTTAACGTCCTAGAAGCAATCTTCACTGCCCTGAGATGGAGAGCGAACCCCATCATGCTCAATGTCACACGCACCATTGGTGAGATTCGAGAGAACCCGTCTTTCCGAAACAAAAAGGAGGCAGACGATGTGCTGGGACAAGCCGTCCGGGCCATGGGCCCTGAGGCAGTTCTGTCTGTCCTTCCACTGAACATTCTCAAGCCAGTCAAGGGCCAGGCCGGAAGAGCATGGCTGTTTCCCATCCTGCGAGACTACACTAGCAATACTAACCTGTCTCATTTCAAGAGTGAAATGGTACCTCTCAGTGAAGTCATGTTCCAGAAGGTTATGGACCATGGTGAAGCCGAGAAGACCATGGAGATCAAGATCTACGAGACCCTCGTACAGCAGATTTGGTCCACTCTTCCAGGCTACTGCGATTTACCGCTCGATCTTTTGGAATCTTTTGACCAAGCCCTGGCTGAGATTCTGGCCAACCTTCTCTACCAGCAAGTCGATCTTCGATTGGATATTTGCAGAGCTTTGAGGACCCTGATTGAGTCAAATCAAGCCGTTGCAAACATCGAGGAGGAGGAAGATTTGCTTTTGCAGAGCCGGGTAACCAAGGATGCTGCTCGCAAGAACTTGACCTATCTCGGCCAATTTGCCGGTAACATGCTCGCAGTGCTCTTCAACGTATATACCCAGACTCTCCCCCAAAGCCGAGGTCCCATTCTCCAGACTGTGAATGCCTTCCTAAGCATCACGCCGAACCAGGAGCTTATGGAGACGTTTGATCGTGTCAGCAAGATGCTTGCAGGAGAGCTCCAGAACGCGCCGGCAGCAGAGGCCAAGCAGCAAGGTCAAAAATCAAAAGACCACATGCCTTCCACTGCGCAGACGCTCATGGATCTCGTCATTACTATTTCAGCATACCTCCCCCGAGAGAGCTTCGCCACGCTGTTTGAGATTGCCACGGCAATAATCAACAGGCAAGAGGAGCCCCAGCTGCAGAAGAAGGCTTACAAGCTGATCCCTAGACTGGCAACTTCTGAGCTTGGCAAGGCTGCTCTGCAGGAGCGGAATGCTGAAATGCAGGCCCTGATCCTCTCTAGCTCAGAGAAGGTATCTGCGCCGGCTAGACGGGAGAGAATTGCTGCCATCTCTGCACTTCTCCCGTTCATTCCCAACAGCGACCTTCACTTCATTCCAGCTGTCTTGAGTGAGATTGTCATCTGCTGCAAGGAGAACAACGAGAGAGCTCGTGAAAGCGCGTACGATCTCCTGGTTGAAATGGGACAGAAGATGGCGGCTGCCAGCGGTGCTACAATCGACAACAGCAAGGTACCTCACATGCCGAGCGATGCTCCAGCCGCCACTGCCAATATCGAGGAGTTCTTCACCATGGTCAGCGCCGGTCTCGCCGGAAGCACCCCTCACATGATTTCTGCCTCTGTCACCGCCATCAGCCGTCTTCTCTATGAATTCCGGTCATCACTGAGCGAGCAGACTTTGTCTGACTTGGTGCAGACTATGGATCTCTTCCTGACGTCAAATAACCGAGAGATTGTCAAGAGCTGCCTGGGCTTTGTCAAGATATCTGTCATCAGCCTGCCCGTCGAGCTGATGATACCACGCCTGGCCACACTCGTGCCCAACCTGGTTACCTGGAGTAAAGAACACAAGGGCCACTTCAAGTCCAAGGTCAGACACATCTTGGAGCGAATGGTCCGCCGCTTTGGTTTCGACGCCATCAACAATGCCTGCCCTGATTCCGACAAGAAGCTGCTCGCCAACATCCGCAAGACCAAGGAGAGAGCGAAGAGAAAGAAGGACGCTGCCAAGAATGCTCATGACGAGGACGCCAGTGACGATGAGGAAGAGGACGGCAAGCGACAATATGAAAACGAATACGACCGCGCGCTGTATAGCAGTGAATCCGAAGAATCCGAAGGAGAGGACGACGAAGGAGACGCAAGACCCAAGAAGAAGGCCCAGAAGGGCGGCAAGACCTACATTGTCGAGGACGACGACGAACCCCTCGATCTGCTCGACAAAAAGGCCCTCGCCAGCATATCATCCACCAAGCCCGTCAAGCTTCGCAAGCCCCAGCGGACCAAGGCCAAGACTGACCTCGACGGCAAGCTCATCCTCGGCAAGGACGACGACGAGGACGAAGGCGCCATGGAGGTCGATCAGCCCGAGAACTCTGGCGTGGGCGCCTACGTCGCTGCCATCAAGGGCCGTGACGCCGCCAAGCGCGGCCGCGGAGGAAAACTCAAGTTCTCCAACAAGCGCTCCAAGGATGGCGATGACGGCGACGAGATGGACGATGACGACGCCGTGGCCGTCAAGAACAGCATCAGCCCCGGCCGTGGCGGCCGCGGCGATCGTGGCGATCGTGGTGGCAGAGGCCGTGGAAAAGGCGGCCCCATGCGCGGCGGCGGTCGTGGAGGTCGTGGCGGCGGCGGTTCGTTCGGTGGCCCGAGGAGTGGTAAAGGTGGCATCGCGGCGGGCAGGAGAGGACTGGGCTCTGAAAAGAGACACGGTCCCTCTGGCGGCGCGGGTGTAGGGAAAGGTAGAAGAGGAGGCCGAAACTAGACATCTTAAAAAAGGGGAGATATGAGACATACACTGATGGGCTACAAAAAAAAAAAAAAAAGACAGACATTTCATGGAAACGGAAATTGATGGGATGATTATGGGTGAATATCTAGCTTTATAGGCATGTTATGGATACCTACACACGATCAGGAAAGAGAACAGAGATATTAATACTCTCTTGAACGTGAGCGAATGTGGGTTGCATGGTTAGCTTTCTTTTTCTGTATGCAATATATATTTACGTGTTCCAAGTTTCTTATCTAGTTTACTGTGACAACACCTGTAATGATATGTTCATGCACAATTGTAAGGAATATTCCGTGTAGGTAGATATATCGTCTTCGTCTATGACAAGAGCAAATTTATACATTCAACTTTCCACGTAACTCAGCGCAAGCTTTGTTTCCAACAAACCAGCTCATTTATACACTCTCCTCCATACCTAATACTCTCTCTTTCTCCATCTCCACACCTTTCCTCGAGAAATAAGACAATGCCAATGCCTCCCTCTTATTGGGTATCAAAAAGTGGTGCTTCCATGTTGCCAAAAACCTGGCACAAAGAAGACAACATCATAGGGGTATAATAACAACGAGTTTAATGAAGCAAAATTCCTCCACTCCATGCTTTCTTTATCATGCAAGCGTTTCAACAAACCAAAGCGTAAGCTTCTAATCCGTAATATTGTCATCATGATTAAAGCATGATTAAAGCATGATGCCTGGTTGCTTGAAACAGAGTATGAGGGAAAAGATAAAAACAAAAGAAGGCTGAAATCGCCGTCCATGCTGAAGAATGACATACAATCAATCGA